TCTCGAGAAGATCTTCTGCTTCATCCTCGTTGCGCTCCACGTCCGCATTGCGCGTCACCCGGAAGAAGTGAGCGGATGTGATCTGATGGGGAAAAGAGGGGGGAGGGAGCAGGGAGCAGGGAGCAGGGAGCAGGGAGCAGGGAGCAGGGAGCAGGGAGCAGGGAGCAGGGAGCAGGGAGCAGGGAGCAGGGAGCAGGGAGCAGGGAGCAGGGAGCAGGGAGCAGGGAGGAGGGGAGAGAGGAGGGAGGAGGGAGAAAAGAGGAAGGATGGACGGACGGGAAGGATGGGGCAAGAGTTAATGAGAAGAAGTGGGAGACAAGGGAAGGTGGGCATGGGAAAGGATGCCCGTGGGGGCATCTCGTCGGTGATCATCTCCAGCAGATCCTCCGCCTCGTCCTCGTTGCGCTCCACGTCCGCGTTGCGCGTCACCCGGAAGAAATGAGCGGATGTGATCTGATGAGGGAAAGAGGAGAGGGGAGGGAGGAGGGATGCGGGAGGAGGGAGCAGGAGGGAGGGAGCAGGGAGGAGGGAGCAGGAGGGAGGGAGCAGGGAGGAGGGAGGACGGAGGGAAGGAGGGGGGAGGGTGGGAAGCAGACACTGTGTCTGCTACACCAGTGTCTGCTACACCAGAGTCTGTTGCGCCAGTGTCTGTTGCGCCAGTGTCTGCTTCACCAGTGTGGATTTGTGGATCATTAAGGGCCCAGGGGTTGGAGATTTGGGCTTATGAAGCGTTGATGCTGAGCGAGAGGGGGTGGGGTGGAGTGCCTTTTGTGTGGAACTCTGGTTTGGCATCTGCGTGTGTGCAACACATCACCTGTGTCAGAATAACGTTCCTGAGTTGCCTCAGTCGCACGTTGTTGAGCGTCAATTCGCAAGTGCAAAACCTTAGGAGCCCTGCAGTGCATTTTTCTCACCTCCATGCCGCCGAACAGCGATGAAAGGTTGGCCTTAATGATTTCCTCCACTGAAATGAATGTGTTGCGCTCCTCGTTGCTGCCCCTGCACACACGCACACACACACGCACACGCACACACCCACCCACACATACAAGAGGAGAAAGAGAATGTTACAGAGAATGCTGTACTGACTAATCGCTCAGGACGCCCTCAAAACTCGTCTCACTTCATCTGGAATTCCAGAAGCACTATACGTGGAAAGACGCTGCGGGCAGGGGCACTCACTCTTCATTTGGGCGCACGAGTGGGTGCCAGCGGTTGCAGGTGTTGGGCACGGACACAATGGCAAACTCGTGGTCGTCGTCCACTGGGTCCCTCAGCGCCTGGACGGCACGATTTGAATAAGGAGGGAGATGAACAGAGAAGCGGGGTTTGAGCGGAGGGGAGGGGGATGAGTGGAGGAGAGGGAGTTGAGGGGAGGGGATGGGGTTGAGCGGAGGGGATGGGTTTGAGTGGAGGGGATGGGCACAGGGGATCAGAACTTCGAAAGGCGGAGAAGGTTCGGACGGGTTGGAAGGCGTACCACAGCAATGCCTAGACACATGCTGCCAAGGAAGGGGAAGAGGTGGCCGGGGCGACTCTAAAGGCCAGTTTTAGTGCGAATTTTGAGTTTACTTTCGGTGGCAGGGAGGGGAGTCGTACCACAGCAATGCCGAGGGACATGTTGCCAATGAAGGGGAAGGGATGGCCGGGATCTACTGCCAGGGGCGTGATGATGGGCTCCAGCCACGCCCTGTAGTATGCCCGCAGCTGATGGGGCGAAAGCGGCGGGAAAGAGAGAGAGGGAAAATAGAGCGCGAGAGGATGTGAAAAGTGAGATGGCAGGGGTGATGATGGCCCCCAGCAACGCAGTTGATGACAGGGAGGCACGCAGGGGGGAGACAGGCAAGGTGGCAGTGAGAATGGACGTGGGGGAAGGCGCGGAAGGGAGGCGGATGGGGGATAAGACAGACAGACGTTGCAGCTGACTCACCTTTTCCTTGGCCGGCGACTCGAGCTCGTCCCAGTGGACGATGCTGATGCCGTGCTTGCGTAGCGACGGCAGCAGATCCTGCTGCAGGCACTGCAGCTGCATCTGCACAAACTGCTCCACCTCCCTGCGCCCCGCCAAGCACGCCATTACGCCCGCCACAACATACCGACAAAACACACGCACCACACCAACCAACATAACCCAGCACACAGCGAGCACAAGCGAGTGTGGGCAAGTTGGCAAGTAAGGACCCATTAAGCTTTGGATGGAAATGTATTTGATTACAAATGATACCTTGATCAAAGGAACCGTCAGGTGAACAGACGGTGCAGCTTCGCCTCCTATTTTGCCGCCGCTTTAACGTCAACGCCCCTTCCGAGTGCTAGCTATCGTCATTAACTGACACCTCGGAAAGGCGGCTTGGCCGAGACCCTCGCATGCGATTCGCGTAACCGAATTTGAGTAGCTCGATGCGAGAAAGTTCACTTTTCGCCAGCGTAACGCATTCAAGTCGTACTGTTTGATTCTTCCGCCAGCACTGGCAGCGATTGGCGCGCTTCTCACCTGGCGACGATTTTCAGCGATTGGCTGGGCGTCCAGAGCCAGCTGCTGCGGTGGCCGATGAGGTTCGCCATGCCCACCGCCTGCTGCCGCTTCAGCGCGCCCACGCGCTTGCAGAAGAACTCGTCCAGATTGCGCGCCGTGATTGCCAAGAAGCGAAGGCGCTGGCGAAGGACGGGATTGTGGAAGGAAATATAGATCGGGGTAAGAAAAGAAAAAGATACGAACCAGCAAAAAACGGGTTTAACTCGACCCAATGGAGCGCTGCGATGGCCAAATCTCGACGGCGCTGGGGAGGGGAAACCGACGAGAAGCAAACAGGTGGGGATGGGGAAAGCAGCCAGGGAGGCAGACGAAATGCTGTCCGAGTGTTGTGAAAACTGGCAGCTATAGCGCTAAAGCTGACTTAGTCTAGCCGGGCGCGAAGGCGAGGAGAAGAAAACAAAAACAAAAAGATTTGTGTTACCTCCATAAGCGGCGTGCGCTTGTCCAGCGCCTGGTAGAGCACGCGCCAGTTGAACGCCAACCAGCTGCGAGACAACGGACAGCGACGCATGGAGAAGAGACAGAGGGTCAGGCGTACAAAAGGGAGAACCAAGGAAGAAACGAACGGGCTTATGTCGGAACCGACTATCACAAGCTTGTCAGCGTCATAAGACGACGGAAGAGAGCGCAAAGCGAGGACATTACTTGGTCGTCACGAATCATACCGGCAGCGAGCGCGCACCTTAGCTCTTTGTTGTAAACCGCATCAGCAGATACCAGCGCGTCAACACTCAACCCCGAAACGTCCTTCATCAGGCCCTCCTGCTCCCACGGCGGCATAAGGCCCTCTGCCAAGCTCTCCACGGCTTTCATTCGGTGCTCCCAGCTCCCCACGCCCGCCTCCTCCATCTCCGTCATCTCCTTCAACGCCGTCACCGTCGCGCTTCCGTCTTCCACTTCCTCCACATCCGACACGTACTCGTCTGTCGCATAGTCCCCTGCATTGACTGACGCTGACAGAGCTCCGTTAACAAGATCGTCAGCCTTGATGTTATCTGACTCCGACGAATCCTCCAAGTCAGCCTCGAAAGATTCTTCGACAAAAGAGACGGACGGGTCGGGAACGGCTGATGCGCCGATTCGCGAATCCCACGGGCCGAACTCGCACGCTGGTGGGTTGGAGCTGTTCGGACCGATGCCATTAGCTCGGATGCTCTGTGCACGGCCGCGGTGCGACGAATCTGACGCTCCGGAATACCGGTTCGTGAAAGCGGAGGAAGAAACAACCACGGGAACTTTCGGCGTAAGCCGGAGTGGTTGCGTGGAGTTAGAGGAGAATAGTCTGGAGGTGCCGCATGATTGTGTCAGGCTTAGCGACGAGACGCCTGACGCCGTGGGACAGGAGTGAAGAGCCTCCATAGAAGAATGAAATGGTTAGATCTAGACAACGGATTTGTGAAAGCGCTTGTTTGATGGCGCGGCGAGAGACTAGAGATGCAGAAAACTTCCCGATACCTAAAGATATAAGTTCTATTAAAAGCAGAGTGGAGGTTGAGGGGAGCAGAAATTTGAGATTTGTGCTTGCGTGCTTGGTTGAATAAGTCTGTTCTGAGAACCCGAGGTTGGTGAGTGGCGGCTGGCTTGGCTTCTGGCAGCAAATGCCAGATGCAGAATGAGAGATGCAGAGAAAGCAAGCTGGCTGGAGGGTGAGGCCTCAGATTTCACCAAGTCTCCTCTGCTTGCACAGTGGAGAGGCCTAGAAGTTGGACTGGACAGATTGTCGCTGCTAGCAGTAGAATTCGGTGGCTAGAAATGAGTTGCAAAATGAGGCTGCAAGTAGGCTCGAGGAGGGCTTTTACACACCCCGAGCCCGAGGGACAACCTTTGGGAATGACGCGAAGCGCGACAGAAACTGAGCCAGGCTCGTCTCTGTTACCGAACCAATTGTGGCTTGGGAAAGTGCTAGCGCCCTCGATATCTCCTCCTTTAGCAGCTTTTGCCGAGTCAAATCCAACCAGTGCCACCTGGACTGCCTGCCAGCGCATCAGGGGAGAAATCAGGCCGCCGCCAATCTGAAAGAGAGGACTCGCGGCGCGTATTTGCGAAGGCCTATTCGCCGTGTAAACGCCTTGAATTGTGGCAGATCTGCGTGTCGGTCCGTCACCCACATGCCTGAAACCCTCAATCCGCTCCCAAGGGTGGGACCTGATTGGGGCATCCAACGACAGGTCAGCACTGGTCACATGCGCCGTTTGTTCTTGCTGAAACCAGACCAAAAATCTTCTCGAGCCAACACAGGCTCGGATTAGACGACGGTATATCTCCGTCGCAGTACAATTTGGGGTGACTCTTGTCGTCCAACCAGAAGACAGTTCCGATTACCGTACAGGAACGCACTGTACGCATCGAAACAACTAGCATCGTTCTCTATTCAGCATTCAGATTGGACCACGTACTTGCGCTGTTTGTGGCCGTCAATGAGAATTCAGTAATGTGGTTCATCTAGGTTGGTCATTCGAAAAACATGGTTGGGTACGGTTCGTATGGCATAGCCTGACAAACCACGTCATGTAAACTTAGCGTACTTATCAATTAGGTGCTGTGAACAGCTGAGAGCCGCTTTTGGTGGCCGTTGGTTGCTTTTCGCTGTTGCGCGTCTCGCCATGATCCCTCTTTGTAGCACTCCCCAGAAACCGAGTGCCTGCAGCACGCTTCATCTATCATCTGAATGCTCTGAGTTCACAAGAGCAACAAGCGCTAGCAGCAGCAACTTTACATTATCTCAGAGGAATCTTAATGCGACGAGTCGATTCAGAATTGCCCGCGTGGGGACAATTGTTCCGGTTGGGATTCTGCGTAAAGAGAAGAGCGTCTTCGCGTGGAGTGGCCCATTGGTAACGGCCAGCGGGGATCGGACTGGATTTAACGCGCAGGCGGGTCAGATTAAGGAGGTTCGAGGAAGATGCTGTGCAAAACCTGCGAAAAGAGTGAGTAGCACTAATCATACCGCCTCTTTTTTTTTTTTTTTTTTTTTTTTTTCATCTTCTTCTTCTTAAAGAATTTGCCGTTATGTAGATTCCGGTCATTCATTTCCGTTTTTCTCATCTCTTTGCTCGTAAACCCTGAATTATGTCAAACTCTTGGCGTGCCAGTAGCTGTGCATAATAGTTCACGTCGTTTGCCCTTCAACTTGTTATTGATTCTAAGTGTGTAATTGCCTTCTCATTCCCTTCAACTGGTCTCCTGTTCCTCCTCCACCCTTGCCAATCGCACATCAGGTTTCCAGGCAAATTGGATGGACTAAGTATCGCCACGTGGACTACAATGAATGGAATGCTGACGATGCGGATGACAGGGACGCGATCGACGTGGAGGGGGAGGCGAGGGAGGGTCCAGGGGTTGGCGAAGAGCGAGTGCTGCAGCGACTGGTCGAGAGGTGAGGTGCAGCCAGCCAGGGTTGAGGACGGATCATATCGCTGACCACCGTCATACGATCATATCTTGATGTGACTTCTGTGTCGACTCAAACGTCACCGTGAGTGGTGGAGAGGCATTTTCGCTGCCAGGCGTGAGGGAGGATTGAACTGCTGGACCACTGTCAGATGGTCAAATCCTGTAGTCCCCCCTTCAATCTTTCGTGCATGTTCACTATCTCAACTCCCAAGCCACAGCTCTGCTCACGTTGGTTAGCTGCCCCCACCCAGTTCTGTTTTCCTGTCATTGATTTCAAATCCCTCTCCCCGCTTCCCCTCCTCTGGTCCCCACTCCACCCCTCTTCCCCCACTCCCTTCTTTGGGTCCCCCACCCCCCTTCTCCAGGCTGGAAAGCACTCCCCTGACCGCCTCCCCGCGCCACGTGTCCAGGGCAGTGCGCAGCGCGGGGGTGCGCCTCTCGTCGCGCCGCGTGGCGCTGGCAGCGCGGCTGCTCGCCAGTAGAGGCAGCTGGCGCAGGGCGCTGCTGCTCGTGCACTGGGCCGCTCGCCGCGACCAATCACGCGTCGACAGGTCAGACGAATGGCGGAGAGACCAATCGAGCTGACAGGTCGCCTCGGGTTCCCCATTCCTGGCCGTGGCTTCGTGGCAGTGTTTTTGTTGCTCATTCCTGTTCAACCTTTTCATACCCCACCAGCTCCCCGTGCCTGCATCTCGCTGATTTCGGACTCTTGTTTCTTCACTGCCTATCGCCTGCTCCGTCTCCTGTCCGCTTTCTCCTCTGTGCTCCTCCCTGTTGCAGGAAGGTGTTCACGTCGCTCATTGCTGCCCTGGGCTGGCGCTACCCCGATGCTGTGCTGCAAGCCATGCGACTCATGATGGTACGCGCTGTGCCGGGATGTGTGGTGCTGTGCAGTGCTGTGTGGTGCTGTGCAGTGCTGTTTGGTGCTGTGCTGCAGTGCTGTGCTGTGCTGCAAGCCTTGTACCTGATGATGGTGCGTGCCTGCAGGCTTGTTGATTCTCATGTTCCCCACTCCTTCTCCGTCCTCCGGCCCCTTCTCAAACCCCCTACTCTCCCAACCTCCAATCTCCCTTGTTATCCACCGCCTCCTCCCCCTCTCTGCTCTCCACCAGTCGCAACCCTCCACGTGGCCTGACCTCCCAGCCTACAGAGCAGCAGCAGTGGCGCTAGGAAGGGCGGGGTATTTGCAGGAGCTGCTGCAGGTGGGCGGAGAGAGGATGGGCTCGGGGAATGTTGATTCCGGTCTCGTAAACCTGAAATCTTAAACCCTTCAGCTATGTTCAGTTCAGTTCAGTGCTATTGTCTCTGCTTTCAGCCGTCAATTGTCATTGTTCACAGTAGTGCCGTCTCTCCGCTGTTCCAAGCTCAGACTAACAAAACCCTTACCCTGACCCATGTCTGCTGGCCCCTCTCTTCCGTCCTCGCCCCCATGTGAGGAGCAGAGCAGCTGATGCAGGAGCTCAGAGAGGGCCCCACCCACACCAACCGCATTGCACCACTTGGAACAGATGGCAGAGGCGCTGGCGCTGGTGCTGCCAGTGTGGCTAGCAGCACAAGCAGCAGTGGCTCCAAGTCGGGTGCAGCAGGGAGCAGCTGGCTGGCGCCAGACGTGGTGGTGTACAACGCTGTGAGTGCAGCTGCTGCCCCTCGTGAGCCTCATATCCACCCCCTGGTAGGAAGAAGATACCCCCTTACCCTCTTCCAATCACCCCCAACAAGTCAGGTGCAGCGGGCGGCAGCTGGCTGGCGCCAGACGTGGTGGTGTACAACGCTGTGAGTGCTGCTTCCCTCCCTCAGCCACCACCTTTAAAGACTGTCTTGCACCCACTCCCCCCTAAGCTGGATATCTGAAAGCAGTACTAAGGATCCAGTTTTTATCTCGATTCTTTCACGCAACTCGGCGTAAAGTCTGTGCGTCCTCCTCAGCCTTTCACCATCCCCTCTCCTCTCTCCGCTCCCTCCCTCTCCATGCCCGCAGGTCCTGAATGCGTGTGGAGCGAAGAGGCAATGGAAAGGCGTGCAGTGGGTGCTGCAGCAGATGCGCAGCGAGGAGGTAGCTCCCGACGCAGCCACCTTCGGGCTGGCGATCCAAGCCCTGTCGCTCTGCAATCAGACGCACCTCGCCCTGCAGCTGCTGGCTGATATGGAGGCGGCTGCCTTCCCCCCTACCACCCACACCTACCGAGGTAATGGTCTGGATTATGCTCCAAACCTACTGAGGTAAACGTCAAACTTACCACCCAAACTTTGGTGGCGAGCTATGTGGCAAAAGACGTGTCCTGCGTCTAGGACGCTTGCGTCCAGACGCAGCGTCTTAGACGCAGGACGCTAGATGAGGGCCTTTAGGACGCATGAAAAGACGCATGCCCGGGCAGGGCGAAAACGGGCAGCTGTAAAAAAAAGTTATAGGGCTTGGGAAGGGGAGGGGGGGGGGACCTTTGCACACATTCAATGCAAATTTTTCCCCAGCAATAAAACCTTAAGGGTTTACTAAGGAGAATTGGGGTTGTGAATGGAGGGAGCACAAATGAGATGTGTGCAACCCTAAATGGGTTTGGTTGGTGGCCACAAAGGTTGGATGTTCTAGATGTAGAGTGGTTGGGTGGGTTGGGTTGGGGGCTTTACAAATTTGTGTAGAGGGGTTTGAAGCTATGTTGGAAAAGTCGCCAGAAACCATAAGCGCACTCCGTATAGTCGTTTACGAATATACGGTGTACGCAAGTCGTACGTATATTCGTTGGCGAAAGTTCGGGCTGACCCGAAAAAAAACCAGATTTCAATAGTCGCGCACGAATTGCGAATGTGCGACGCGACTCAAAATGTACGCACGTCCCACCCCAATTTGTACGCACGTCCCAACCACATTGTCACCCACACCTGTCAAAATGTGGGGACGTGGGAAAATTTGAACCGCACTGCACCCTATGCTATCGCGCGACTCCAACACACAAACACGAATGTCGTCAACCAGCGTAGGTGGTTCAACCACATCCTGGACTATAAGGTAAGCTCTCATTCCCGTCATCTGTATTATCTCTCTCCTCGTTCATTCTCTCTCAACACTCCCGCTCACCTGCATTTGATGTCGACTCCTTCTGGTACTCCCGCAAGTGCCACTAGTGAGGCTCCTAGTGTTTCGAATGACGCGACCATGGCGGACGACGAGGATGTTCCTGTGAACACCCATGTTATTTTTAAGCATTTCCTTACCTCTACCGAAGGTACCTCGAATGGTCCTGAGCGTACTCTCCGCATATGCCGGCACTGCAAGCTTAAGTTCGTAGGGGGCGCCTTCCGTTGCGCGCAACACATCACGCGCTGGAAAGGGCTGAAACGGAAGGACGTCCGTCTTTGCAAGGCGCCTATCCCTTCTGCTGACCGCGGCGCCGTCCGCGAATTGTACGAAGGCAAACACGCCCGCAGGGAAGGGAAGAAGAAGGCGGAGGAGATGGCGATCGAGGCGTGTGCGGGTGGAGCGAAGAAGCAGTGCATCGAAGACTTCTACGGGGAAGGGGCGTCGTGTGCGAAGGAATCGGCAGACGACGCCATCTGCCTCATGTGGGCGGCAGTTCACCTCCCGGAGCATCTCGCCGATCACCCTCTCTGGCGCAACGCTGTGCGCTGCATCACGGACGCGGGCCATGGCTACGTTCCCCCGAAGCGGCGGTATGTTGGTGGCGCCGGCCTTGCGCGCTGCCGCGAAAAGATCGAGAGGGGGCTCGCTCCCATCACTGCGAGCTGGAAGCGGGATGGCGTGACGATAGGCTCGGACATGATGACGGACAAAAGTGGCCGTCCCCAAGCCAACATCCTGCTCATCAACGATTCCGGTGCAGTGTTCACCGAAAGCATCGACTGTAAGTTGGAGACGAAGACGGGAGGTTACATTGCATCCGTTTTGCGCCCGATCATTGAGAAGGTGGGGCCCGCCAACATAGTTGCGTTATGCATGGATGGGGGCAGCAATTATGCGGCTGCATGTAGGGAACTCATGCTTGAGTATCCTCACATTGAGCATGTGCCGTGCGCTACTCACGTCATGGATCTGCTCATGGAGGACATTGGTGAAATGGATTGGGCGAAGGACATTGTGGCTAAGGCGGGGGTGATTATTACCTTTGTGCGTGCCCACCATTTCACCAAAGGTTACATGCGAAGCCCGCAGGTGAAGGGAGGGAAGGGGAAGCAGGTGCTGAAGCCGGCGGGCACCAGATTTGGCACGCAATTCATCGCGGTGCAGCGGCTTTGCGAGGTGCGGAGTGCATTGACGCAGATGGTGCTGAGCCCGGAGTGGCAGGCTTGGGCGAAGGGGAGGAAGCCGCCGGTCGAGCCCTTCGCAACCATGATCATGGATGCCGTGTGGTGGAAAGGTGCGGAGTTCTTCGTCGCCCTCCTGAAGATCCCCTTTGTCGTCATGCGCAAGACCGACTCGACGGCCAAGGGCATGATGGGCAGGATGTACGATCTGATGCTGCAGCTCACGGAAGACATCAGCAAAGAGGAGAGGCAGGAGGCAAGGATGCAGCGGTTGGTGGCTAATAACAGGAGCAGGAGGAGGCTGATACGTGAAGGGAAATTGCAGAGAGAGGCGGTTGCGGCAGGGGAAGCAGGGGAAGAGGGGAGGGAGGGGGGAGCATGCGAGGAGGAAGTGGGGGAAGAGGAGGGGGTAGATGACAAAGGGGAGGCCATTGGCGTGACAGGAGAAAGCGAGGAGCAGAAGTGCGAGGAGGAAGAGAATATGAAGGAGAACTGGGAGGAGGACAGGGAGGAGAACGCAGGTGAGAGGGTGTGGATGGGCAGGAGACGAGAGGACCCTCCACTGGTGCCCAACAGCCACACGTTCGCAGCCATGCTGGGAGCGTGTGTGCGGTGCCGGCAGTGGCAGGCCGTGAGGCAGGTAGCACGGGACATGCAGCGGGCGGGGTGGCCGCTGCAGGTGCGGCAGCATGGGTGGGTGGTGGACGCGCTCCTCAAGGGCAAACAGACAACCATTGCTGACGAGCTGCTGCTTGCCATGCGCGGGACAGCTACTGGGGCTGCTGGCCTTAGTAACAGCCAGGAATCCAATCGCGTTAGCGTTCATAATCCTGACCATGTTGCGGGTCGAGATTACGGTGGTGTGGGTGGGGAGGAGAGTCCTCCTGAGACAGTTGAGAGCGTGAGTGAGGAGGAGCAGAGGAGGACCGCTGCACAGCAGCAGCTTGAGTTGCTGTCGGCACTGACTCGTGCGAGCAGCAGAGGAGACGGGATGAGCTCACAGGGAGTCTCAGATGACAGCTGTGAAAACAACAGCCTCAGCAGCAGCGACAGCAGCAGCAGCAGCAGCAGCAGCAGCAGCAGCAGCAGCAGCAGCAGCAGCAGCAGCAGCAGCAGCAGCAGCAGCAGCAGCAGCAGCAACAGTAGCATTCCAGACACCAGCAGCAGCACCCAAGCCAACGGTAGCAGTGGCAAGGACAGCAGCAGTGACGAGCTGAACCCTGTCCTCCTGAGGGTGCGGGAGCTGCTAGAGTCGCACGCCCCCCTGGATGGCTTTGCTTGGCGTTATGCGGTGGCGTCGGTGGGCGGCGGACTGACAGGGGAAGGGGTGGAGGAGGCTGTGGGAGTAATGGACGCGTGGGGGAGGGCTTTGGAGGGAACGGCTTTGGATGAGAGGGTGGTTGAGGAGAGGGCTTTGGAGGGAACGACTTTGGATGAGAGGGTGGTTGAGGAGAGGGCTTTGGAGGGGAAGGTTGTGGAGGAGAGGGTGGTTGAGGTGGAGGTGGTGAGTGGGGAAGGCAGACCTGGGGCGGTGGCAGGTGCTTATTCAGCAGGAGTTGAGTCAGGTCGTGCTGAGTCGTCAGGTGTTGAAACAGCAAGTGTTCAGAGAGGGCCAGCGAGGGCAGCAGATGCGCGAACAGACTTAGACACTGCAGCAAGTGGTGCTGGTGCTGCAAGTGGTGCTGTTGGCGCTGATGGTGGTGCTGGTGACCCTGGTGCTGCTGGTGCTGCTGCTGGTGGTGCATCTGCTGCATCTGCTGCATCTGCTGCATCTGCTGCATCTGCTGCATCTGCTGCATCTGCTGCATCTGCTGCTACCTCTGAAGCCTACCCCGCATCCTCCCCTGCAGTGGACCCTGGTGTGCTTGCCTACCTTGTAAGGGGGCTGCTTATAGGGGGGAAGAGGGAGGAGGTTCAAGTGGCATTGCTATTGGTCGACCGGATGGAGAAGGAAGGGTGGGTGGCAGATGCCGGCATATACACCAGCCTACTGCACCGGACCGTCAGGCTGGGGATGAGAGCTGAGGCTCGGGAGGTGCTGGCTCGGGCCGAGGCAGCAGGTGTGAAGGTTGAGTACGATGATCTGGAATTGAGTGACTCTGTAGGGGGTACGTTTGAGGATAGGGGAGAGAGGGTGGGAGGAGGATGGCAACGAGGGGAGGGGGATCGGGTGGAAGAGCCATCTGCTTGGGACATTTTAAAAGTCTGGAGGAAGGAGCTGCTATGAGGAAGCTACGAGGAACAAAATAACGTATTTCCTGAATAAAATAGCTGGCTGAAAGGTTTAGCTTCAAAGCATGCTCATTGGTTAGTTGGGGAAACAATATTGTAGGATCTACATTGTTACATGTTATGTTACTGAGCAGGCGGCTACATAGCGGATGTCTTCGTCTTTCCGTGAAGCATTGAGACATCTCAAAGCTTGATACCATCACAGAAGCACGGCTATGTAGCGGATAGGAAGGTTCCTCCTCGCTTTCCGTCGAGCAGGTTAGCTTAGACCGGCGTTTTTCAAAAGGGGAAAATAGGTGCGCGCTATTACGGTGACACTGTTTCGGCAACTTACGATTTCAGCGTGACATTGATTGCGGCTCTCCGTCAAAGCCATGGCTGCAGCAGAATTTGAGATTTGTGATAACTGGTAAATCCTTGGCCCTCGTTCTTTCGGGTGTGTCGTACGCACTCTTTATTTTCATCCGTTTCGTACGGTATAGTATAGCTCTATGAGGTTCTATAACTGTCGCATCCGCGTCATCCGTACGTGTCGTCCGTACGTGTGGTCTGTGTCGTCCACGCCGCCAACCCCATTCCCGACCCTTCCATCCCGTCTCTTCCAATCCCGTCGCTTCCATTCCGCACCTCAGCGCTCACCCCATCCCCTTGGCGAACCTACCGTGACACGCGGCGCACTGCAAGGCTCACGTGCCCTTATTTTTCCCCCTTTCCCGCTTTTCCCCCTTTCCCTCTTTCCCCCCTTCCCCGCTTTCCCCCCTTTCCCTCTTTCCCCCCTTTCCCGCTTTCCCCCATTTTCTCATTCCCCATTCCCCATTCTCCCCACCTCAGCGCTCGCCCCATCCCGGTCGCCAACCTACCGCTGCACGTGGCGCACTGCGAGACGCGCCTAGTGCGCTGCGACGGGTGTGATGAGATGGTGGCCTCTGCCGCCATGGACCAACATATTGCAGCCGTGCACGCCCCTGTAAGTGCTGGCAGCACCGCTCCAGTGAGTAGCGGCACTTTGTGCTTGAGTAGACGGGTGCGATGAGATGGTGGCCTCTGCCGCCATGGACCAACACGTGGCAGCCGTGCACGCTCCTGTGAGTACATATACGCCTTACTGGTTGCACATCTCAGTGAGTACCCGCACTTTGTGTTTGTGCTGATGGGTGCGATGAGATGGTGGTCGCCGCCGCCATGGACCAGCACATATCAGCTGTGCACGCTCCTGTAAGTGCAGAGCTGGGAATCAGCCAGGCGCAGGTTCGTAGTGACACTTGTCGTGCGCTGTGACGGGTGCGATGAGATGGTGGTCACTGCCGCCATGGACCAACACGTGGCAGCCGTGCACGCTCCTGTGAGTATCAACATTCCTGGCTCGAATCGATGGGTGCAATGGGATGGCGGTGACTGCAGCAGCCACGCACCCATCTTTCTCTTGACCCATCTTCCCCCTTCCTCTCACCGTCCCCATCACCTCTCCTTCCTCAGGTGCCCTGCTCGCTATGTTGAGAGCCCATGGAGCGGCGGCTCCTGGCAGAGCATGAGGCTGCAACCTGCGGGTCCTGAAACGCGTTGCCCCTTCTTACTTTCTCCCCCCTTTTTTCCCCATGTTCACCTCCCTCAGGCGCCCTGCTCGCTGTGTGGAGAGCCCATGGAGCGGCGGCTCCTGGCAGAGCATGAGGCGTCAGCGTGCCCCCTGCGCTCCATGATCTGCGCCTACTGTGACCTCCCTGTCACCGCCATGGACCTCCAGTCTCACACTGTAAGCGTGTTCTTTTTTAGTCGACTCCAAGAGCGTGCCTCTTGCGGGCCTGCCCCCTGCCCCCTGTGCCCCCTGCGCTCCATGATCTGCGCCTACTGTGACCTCCCTGTCACCGCCATGGGCCTCCACTCTCACACAGGAGGAGATTGTTTTTAGAGTCTAGTTTAAGATTCACCCCTTCTCACGCTGTAAGGAGGAGATTGTTTTTAGAGTCTAGTTAAAGATTTGCCGCTTCTCACGCTGTAAGGAGGAGGTTGTTTTTAGAGTCTAGTTAAAGATTCGCCGCTTCTCACGCTGTAAGGAGATTGTCTTTAGAGTCAACTCAGAACTTACATCCTTCGTCACACTCTGTGAGTCGATGCCTTTATTGAGGCGCCTGAGAGATCCCATTTGCGACCTCCCTGTCGTGTCCATGTATGTTCTCTTGTTCTCTCTTATGTAAACCCCCATCGTGTGGCAGGCAGGGTGTTTTGAGAATCCTCGATATCCACCCTTCTGCTACCTCCCTGTTGCCTCCGTGTATGTTCACCCTCACATACCCCTTCTCACTCGCCCTCAGGGAGTGTGTGGCAGCCGCACGGACTGGCGTGAAGTCTGCAGCAAGTATGCGCAGAAGAGGCAGCAGGAAGCACATCAGCAGGAGCACCTGCAGCAACCATCGCTCCATGCTGCCACCCCCAGCGCCAGCAGAGACGCCCCTGGATCTGGTTCATTTTACAGCAATCCGAACGGCTCCATTTCTGTGTGTCTAACTCCAAGTGTGTGCTGCTATGTGCGTCCACCGTCTCATCCCTCCCCTCATTCGCCCTCTCAGGACGTGTGTGGCAGCCGCACGGACCAGTGTGAGATCTGCAACAAATATGTGCGGAAGAGGGAGCAGGAAGCACATCAGCAGCAGCACATCATGCAGCAACCATCACTCCATGCTGCCACTCCCAGCACCAGCAGAGACAACACCAGAGCACATTCATCTCATAGCTCTCGCGAGCCTTGCAGTGTTTCTAATGGTTTATCTGGTAGATTACCTGGAAGCGCTGCACGTGGTGGTGCTAGTGGCGGTGGTGGGGGGTCTGGGGGGATAGTAAGGTACTGGCAGCTGCTTGTTCCAGTAGGGTTTGTGGTGGTGGGTGTGGCTTTGGCACTGGGTGTACGGAAGAGAAACAAACTGTAGGGGAACATTTGTTACTAGGGTATGCTATTTACCAATACATTTGTTTTTAGCAGATGCCTCAATGTGTGTAGTAATTGTTGAGGCTGGCTTTAGCTGAAATATTTCAATAAGAAACGAACAGCTGAACTTAAACATGGGCATATAGCGAATGAATTATGCAACCAGTCTCGATAGAGCTACACTGACCATATCGCGTATTTTCCACGCTCCCAAACCAGTCAACATATATTACTGACCACGTCTCTTTCTGTGTCTCACGGCGGTGAGAATGCCTTTCAGGTTCTGCTACCTCTCATCTTCTGTAAAGAAGTCAACGAGTCAACCATTCAACCACTGTCCTTCCGCCATGTACGCGGTTTCGCGGCAGTCGCTTTCAGCGACACAATGCGCAGCGCACATCCCGCGCCGAGCATGGCCACCACTGGCTGCGCTTCGCTGCGACAAAAATCTCGCGAAACCGTTAGTTGGAGTCGCGAAATCGTCGCATGGTTCGAGCTCGGCGTTCAGGTCTTCGCAGAGTTTGCTACGAACAGCCGTGTTGACGAGAACTTGCGGATGGACCCGCAGCGGCACTGCTGCCGGCGAGTGTTTGATGACGCGTGAAAAAACTGCCGTTCTGGCTAGTAATCACGGTGATAACGGTGCTAGTGACTATAGTGGTACAGATGCTACCAATGGCAGTAGCAATGCTACGAGTGACGTCATCAGCGGAAGCAGCAAGCAAGCTTCTGCCGTCTCTGCACATCCAGCGTCTTCCCCGTCGGTTGGAAGCACTCCGGAAGCTTCGTTTCTAGGACCGGTCGGGGAGATGCTGCAGCGGAACAAGGCGAAGACGGCCGAGTGAGTTCGCGCCTGGTGAGAAGCTTCACGGAACCTTCACAACCTTGAGAGATGAGAAAATCTTAAGCTGTCTTGTTCTCAACCGTGTTATTGTCATCTCGTCACCAAACGCAACAGCTTTGCTTGCGACCCTCAATCCTGATCGTCCATTTTGCGCTTTCTCCTCTCTTGCCACCAATCAACGGTCCCCAGGGTATTGGAAAAGCTGAAGTCGTTTGGTGTGGCTGGCGTCCTTGCTTATGGCCTCTTCAATACAGTCTACTACATCTTCGCCTTCCTCTTCGTATTGTAAGTAAAACTTTTAGCATCTCATGCGCGGTTTCCTTTTCCGTCTTCTGCCAATCTGCTGCGCACTTTTTTGCGTGTCACACACCTCTCACTCCTCCCTAGTACTCCTCACCCTTTCTCTCTTTCTGCTTTTGAGTTCAAACGGAAGCCTCGTATGACCCCTCTCACTTGCCGTCCGTGTCACTGGACAAGAGGCAATCAACCAATTTATCCCCTCCTTCCCCATTTATCCCTCCACCCGCTCCCTCCCGCTGCTCTCTACATGGGGGGTGTGCATGTGTGGCTGCTCCTGCCCATATGCGTCTGTGTGTATGTGCCCATGTGCGTCTGTGTGTATGTGCCCATGTGCGTCTCTGTGTATGTGCCCATGTGCGTCTGTGTGTATGTGCCCATGTGCGTCTGTGTGTATGTGCCCATGTGCGTCTCTGTGTATGTGCCCATGTGCGTCTGTGTGTATGTGCCCATGTGCGTCTCTGTGTATGTGCCCATGTGCGTCTCTGTGTATGTGCCCATGTGCGTCTGTGTGTATGTGCCCATGTGCGTCTCTGTGCAGTCTCTACGTGGCCCCATCCCCGCGTGGTCTGGGCTTTGCAGCAGCAGCAAAGAAGTGAGTTCTCTTACAGCCAGTCTGCTCTGCTTTCGGGGGGAATCGGCATTTGAGGCTCCTAAAAAACGTCTCGGTTGTGCCACGCCCATATCTAAGTCGACTAAAAATCAGCTGAAAAGCGGCTTAATTGCGAGAGCCGTATTTGTGAGGCGTTTCAAGAGTAGTGGCCTGCCTGAGGTGCATTTTGAGGCGCCTCAAAATACGTTTCAAGAGTAGTACCCTGCCTCTCAACCAGCTGCGCATACTGGGGGACTGCTTTGTTCGCGCTAGGCTTCTTGTTGAGGCGCCCCAACAATAGTGCCCTGCCGCCCAGCCAATCAGTGGGCTAGTGGGAAGCCTTGGTGTCACGAGGAGGCGGGTTGTTGATGCATCCATTGATATTAGAAGCGCGTGAGAAGCGGCGTTTTTCAGATGCCATCGTTCACCCTCACGCGGTTCTGTAATCTCATCAGCACCCGCAATCGCCCGCCCTCTTCCACCCTCCTCCCTCTTCCCGCTCCCCTCTCCCTCCACAGCTTTCTCAAGGTCTTTGCTGTGGTGTGGGCTGGCAGTCAGGTCACCAAGCTCGTGCGAGCAGGCGGGTAAGCATCAGTCGCTGAGTGGATTTCTGGCTTAATCATTGTAGAGAAAGGTCTTGGGGGAAAGAAGATGTGCTCACGGTCAAATGTTAAGGCGTCCCCAATTGTGTTTATTTTGAAGTCGGGATCTAATTCCTCCGAGAATGTGTCTATGCTGAAGTGAAGTCACGTTCTAAGACCTCTGACTCCGTCCCTCACCCTCCCTCCCCCCTCCTGCAGAGCACTCATGCTAGCGCCTTTAATGGAAAGAGGCATAGTTATCCTCTCCTCCTCAAAGGGATTGTTCAGGTCCCGAGGCCAGGCAGTCGCGGCCATTGTCGCCTTCTGCTTTGGTCTAGCTGGGATTCTCTTCCTCGCAGTCACTGCTCTCTGGGCGTGACGTGACGTGAGCCATTCACCATGGCTTGTGCATTGCTGGCTGTCACAGCGCTGTCACTTCACGAGCTCCACTCTCCTCCTCCTCCAAGGGCATGTTCAAGTCCCGAGGCCAGGAAGTAGCCGCCATAGTTGCCTTCTGCTTTGGCCTCGCTGGGGTTCTCTTCCTTGCTGTCACTGCTCTCTGGGCATGAGGCCTCAAGCGTGCCTGGTGGTTCGCGAGCCGCGATCTCCTCCTCCAAGGGCGTGTTCAAGTCCCGAGGCCAGGCGGTGGCTGCCATAGTGGCCTTCTGCTTTTGTATCGCTGGGGTTCTCTTCCTCGCAGTCACTGCACTGTGGGAGTGAGCCATTATGCAAGTCTAGTTGTTTTGATTTGAACTCTACTTCTCTCCTCCACGGCCTGTTCAAGTCCCAAGGCCAGGGGAAGTGGCCGCCATTGACACCTTCTGATTTGGCCATGCTGCCATCCCCATGGCAGGGATTCTCTCCACGCTGTCACTGCCCTGTGGCCGTGAGGCATTCACCACCATGCATGCCCAGGTGTGCTATTCTGCTTCTCAGACAGACCTAATGTTGGTCCCTGGTTCAGCCTGGTTGGGGTGCACACCTGACTTGTTGAGAAAATCTATTCATTATGAATCATGAGTGTGTGATGGCTACCACTGTACACTCAAATACAGATACTGTATTTTAAGCTGCTGTATCAGGACCTGTACATTGCCTTTTACATGCAAAAGAAATATCACTGTACGCTTTTACCGTGTAATGACTGGATGGACAGCACAGAACTCGGGTAGTGCAGTTTGGTCAAACAGCCGATTGTTTGTACATGGAGGTATCAAGCACCTGCTTGCCGCACATGGCACACACACCTGGGCGGGGGAAATGGACGGGGTGTGGGATGGGGGAGGGGGGGGAGTGGAAAAAGGAAATCAGGAGAAGTAAACAGGGAGCATATACTGAACAGCTATCGGTACAAGGAACATTTTTGTCGATACATGCACCATGATATACATGGTAAGGGAGGGGAAGTCAAGGGAGCCCAAAAATGTCAATAGAATGTTCTACGGATCTGGTTCTTTTATCGATGTAGTAATCCAAAAATGTAAATTATTTGGAGGAAACATACTCAGTAATGCTCACCTTTCTTATAAGAGCATAGATGACAGTATTTGCCCTCTGGTGTACCTGCTGCTTGCATATGATGCCTTGAGAGATGCTGATGATGCATATGGAGTGTACGTGTTTACCTTTTTTATATGAGCATAGGTGGCAGTATTTCCCCTCCTGGTGCAGCTGCTGTTTGCAAATAATGCACTTGAAAGATGCGGATGACGCGTACGGAGTGTACCTGCTCGTACGAGGGACCCATTTTGGGGAGGCCATGGTTGGAAGGGGAAAGGAATGATGGGAAGAAAGAGAGAGAGGGAGTTGGGAGGTACAGGAGTGCAGAAGGGGAAAAGGTTGTTGGGAGTGCAGGAGTGCAGGAGTACAGGAGTTGGGACAGCGTTTCACAAAAACAAGGGGAAAGGACCAATTGTGTAGCATCTGAGGCAGTGTGTACCTTTTCTTTTTTGACAGCAGCTTGTTCTCGTTGATCTTCCTGCCGCCGCTCTCAGTGGTGTTGGAAGCCCCCTCCTTCCACTTGTCCGGCACAATCACCTTTGACAGCTTCTTCGCACCTGCCGGGTGCCAGCATGGGGAGGAAGGAAACTTCAAGACATGTCAGGGTTCCTAAGAATAGCGTCTTCATTCAGCTGTCTTCTGAGTCGACTCAAAAGTCACCTCGTCAATAGCGTCTTCATTCAGCTGTCTTCTGAGTCGACTCAAAAGTCACCTCGTCAATAGCGTCTTCATTCAGCTGTCTTCTGAGTCGACTCAAAAGTCACCTCGTCAATAGCGTCTTCATTCAGCTGTCTTCTGAGTCGACTCAAAAGTCACCTCGTCAATAGCGTCTTCATTCAGCTGTCTTCTGAGTCGACTCAAAAGTCACCTCGTCAATAGCGTCTTCATTCAGCTGTCTTCTGAGTCGACTCAAAAGTCACCTCGTCAATAGCGTCTTCATTCAGCTGTCTTCTGAGTCGACTCAAAAGTCACCTCGTCAATAGCGTCTTCATTCAGCTGTCTTCTGAGTCGACTCAAAAGTCACCTCGTCAATAGCGTCTTCATTCAGCTGTCTTCTGAGTCGACTCAAAAGTCACCTCGTCAATAGCGTCTTCATTCAGCTGTCTTCTGAGTCGACTCAAAAGTCACCTCGTCAATAGCGTCTTCATTCAGCTGTCTTCTGAGTCGACTCAAAAGTCACCTCGTCAATAGCGTCTTCATTCAGCTGTCTTCTGAGTCGACTCAAAAGTCACCTCGTCAATAGCGTCTTCATTCAGCTGTCTTCTGAGTCGACTCAAAAGTCACCTCGTCAATAGCGTCTTCATTCAGCTGTCTTCTGAGTCGACTCAAAAGTCACCTCGTCAATAGCGTCTTCATTCAGCTGTCTTCTGAGTCGACTCAAAAGTCACCTCGTCAATAGCGTCTTCATTCAGCTGTCTTCTGAGTCGACTCAAAAGTCACCTCGTCAATAGCGTCTTCATTCAGCTGTCTTCTGAGTCGACTCAAAAGTCACCTCGTCAATAGCGTCTTCATTCAGCTGTCTTCTGAGTCGACTCAAAAGTCACCTCGTCAATAGCGTCTTCATTCAGCTGTCTTCTGAGTCGACTCAAAAGTCACCTCGTCAATAGCGTCTTCATTCAGCTGTCTTCTGAGTCGACTCAAAAGTCACCTCGTCAATAGCGTCTTCATTCAGCTGTCTTCTGAGTCGACTCAAAAGTCACCTCGTCAATAGCGTCTTCATTCAGCTGTCTTCTGAGTCGACTCAAAAGTCACCTCGTCAATAGCGTCTTCATTCAGCTGTCTTCTGAGTCGACTCAAAAGTCACCTCGTCAATAGCGTCTTCATTCAGCTGTCTTCTGAGTCGACTCAAAAGTCACCTCGTCAATAGCGTCTTCATTCAGCTGTCTTCTGAGTCGACTCAAAAGTCACCTCGTCAATAGCGTCTTCATTCAGCTGTCTTCTGAGTCGACTCAAAAGTCACCTCGTCAATAGCGTCTTCATTCAGCTGTCTTCTGAGTCGACTCAAAAGTCACCTCGTCAATAGCGTCTTCATTCAGCTGTCTTCTGAGTCGACTCAAAAGTCACCTCGTCAATAGCGTCTTCATTCAGCTGTCTTCTGAGTCGACTCAAAAGTCACCTCGTCAATAGCGTCTTCATTCAGCTGTCTTCTGAGTCGACTCAAAAGTCACCTCGTCAATAGCGTCTTCATTCAGCTGTCTTCTGAGTCGACTCAAAAGTCACCTCGTCAATAGCGTCTTCATTCAGCTGTCTTCTGAGTCGACTCAAAAGTCACCTCGTCAATAGCGTCTTCATTCAGCTGTCTTCTGAGTCGACTCAAAAGTCACCTCGTCAATAGCGTCTTCATTCAGCTGTCTTCTGAGTCGACTCAAAAGTCACCTCGTCAATAGCGTCTTCATTCAGCTGTCTTCTGAGTCGACTCAAAAGTCACCTCGTCAATAGCGTCTTCATTCAGCTGTCTTCTGAGTCGACTCAAAAGTCACCTCGTCAATAGCGTCTTCATTCAGCTGTCTTCTGAGTCGACTCAAAAGTCACCTCGTCAATAGCGTCTTCATTCAGCTGTCTTCTGAGTCGACTCAAAAGTCACCTCGTCAATAGCGTCTTCATTCAGCTGTCTTCTGAGTCGACTCAAAAGTCACCTCGTCAATAGCGTCTTCATTCAGCTGTCTTCTGAGTCGACTCAAAAGTCACCTCGTCAATAGCGTCTTCATTCAGCTGTCTTCTGAGTCGACTCAAAAGTCACCTCGTCAATAGCGTCTTCATTCAGCTGTCTTCTGAGTCGACTCAAAAGTCACCTCGTCAATAGCGTCTTCATTCAGCTGTCTTCTGAGTCGACTCAAAAGTCACCTCGTCAATAGCGTCTTCATTCAGCTGTCTTCTGAGTCGACTCAAAAGTCACCTCGTCAATAGCGTCTTCATTCAGCTGTCTTCTGAGTCGACTCAAAAGTCACCTCGTCAATAGCGTCTTCATTCAGCTGTCTTCTGAGTCGACTCAAAAGTCACCTCGTCAATAGCGTCTTCATTCAGCTGTCTTCTGAGTCGACTCAAAAGTCACCTCGTCAATAGCGTCTTCATTCAGCTGTCTTCTGAGTCGACTCAAAAGTCACCTCGTCAATAGCGTCTTCATTCAGCTGTCTTCTGAGTCGACTCAAAAGTCACCTCGTCAATAGCGTCTTCATTCAGCTGTCTTCTGAGTCGACTCAAAAGTCACCTCGTCAATAGCGTCTTCATTCAGCTGTCTTCTGAGTCGACTCAAAAGTCACCTCGTCAATAGCGTCTTCATTCAGCTGTCTTCTGAGTCGACTCAAAAGTCACCTCGTCAATAGCGTCTTCATTCAGCTGTCTTCTGAGTCGACTCAAAAGTCACCTCGTCAATAGCGTCTTCATTCAGCTGTCTTCTGAGTCGACTCAAAAGTCACCTCGTCAATAGCGTCTTCATTCAGCTGTCTTCTGAGTCGACTCAAAAGTCACCTCGTCAATAGCGTCTTCATTCAGCTGTCTTCTGAGTCGACTCAAAAGTCACCTCGTCAATAGCGTCTTCATTCAGCTGTCTTCTGAGTCGACTCAAAAGTCACCTCGTCAATAGCGTCTTCATTCAGCTGTCTTCTGAGTCGACTCAAAAGTCACCTCGTCAATAGCGTCTTCATTCAGCTGTCTTCTGAGTCGACTCAAAAGTCACCTCGTCAATAGCGTCTTCATTCAGCTGTCTTCTGAGTCGACTCAAAAGTCACCTCGTCAATAGCGTCTTCATTCAGCTGTCTTCTGAGTCGACTCAAAAGTCACCTCGTCAATAGCGTCTTCATTCAGCTGTCTTCTGAGTCGACTCAAAAGTCACCTCGTCAATAGCGTCTTCATTCAGCTGTCTTCTGAGTCGACTCAAAAGTCACCTCGTCAATAGCGTCTTCATTCAGCTGTCTTCTGAGTCGACTCAAAAGTCACCTCGTCAATAGCGTCTTCATTCAGCTGTCTTCTGAGTCGACTCAAAAGTCACCTCGTCAATAGCGTCTTCATTCAGCTGTCTTCTGAGTCGACTCAAAAGTCACCTCGTCAATAGCGTCTTCATTCAGCTGTCTTCTGAGTCGACTCAAAAGTCACCTCGTCAATAGCGTCTTCATTCAGCTGTCTTCTGAGTCGACTCAAAAGTCACCTCGTCAATAGCGTCTTCATTCAGCTGTCTTCTGAGTCGACTCAAAAGTCACCTCGTCAATAGCGTCTTCATTCAGCTGTCTTCTGAGTCGACTCAAAAGTCACCTCGTCAATAGCGTCTTCATTCAGCTGTCTTCTGAGTCGACTCAAAAGTCACCTCGTCAATAGCGTCTTCATTCAGCTGTCTTCTGAGTCGACTCAAAAGTCACCTCGTCAATAGCGTCTTCATTCAGCTGTCTTCTGAGTCGACTCAAAAGTCACCTCGTCAATAGCGTCTTCATTCAGCTGTCTTCTGAGTCGACTCAAAAGTCACCTCGTCAATAGCGTCTTCATTCAGCTGTCTTCTGAGTCGACTCAAAAGTCACCTCGTCAATAGCGTCTTCATTCAGCTGTCTTCTGAGTCGACTCAAAAGTCACCTCGTCAATAGCGTCTCCATTCAGCTGTCTTCTGAGTCGACTCAAAAGTCACCTCGTCAATAGCGTCTTCATTCAGCTGTCTTCTGAGTCGACTCAAAAGTCACCTCGTCAATAGCGTCTTCATTCAGCTGTCTTCTGAGTCGACTCAAAAGTCACCTCGTCAATAGCGTCTTCATTCAGCTGTCTTCTGAGTCGACTCAAAAGTCACCTCGTCAATAGCGTCTTCATTCAGCTGTCTTCTGAGTCGACTCAAAAGTCACCTCGTCAATAGCGTCTTCATTCAGCTGTCTTCTGAGTCGACTCAAAAGTCACCTCGTCAATAGCGTCTTCATTCAGCTGTCTTCTGAGTCGACTCAAAAGTCACCTCGTCAATAGCGTCTTCATTCAGCTGTCTTCTGAGTCGACTCAAAAGTCACCTCGTCAATAGCGTCTTCATTCAGCTGTCTTCTGAGTCGACTCAAAAGTCACCTCGTCAATAGCGTCTTCATTCAGCTGTCTTCTGAGTCGACTCAAAAGTCACCTCGTCAATAGCGTCTTCATTCAGCTGTCTTCTGAGTCGACTCAAAAGTCACCTCGTCAATAGCGTCTTCATTCAGCTGTCTTCTGAGTCGACTCAAAAGTCACCTCGTCAATAGCGTCTTCATTCAGCTGTCTTCTGAGTCGACTCAAAAGTCACCTCGTCAATAGCGTCTTCATTCAGCTGTCTTCTGAGTCGACTCAAAAGTCACCTCGTCAATAGCGTCTTCATTCAGCCTCATTCAGCTGTCTTCCTGCCGCCAATCTCTGTGGTGTTTAACCCCTTCAGAGGTGTCTCAAAAGCCGCTCTCAGTGGTGTTGGACGCCCCCTCCTTCCACTTGTCCGGCACGATAACCTTTGACAGCTTCTTCGCACCTGCCAGGTGCCAGCATGGGGAGGAATAACATAAGAGAGAGCTAAAAAGCCACCCGTAGGTTTCCATTTGTCTTTTGAGAATTAATCAGAAGTCACCACAATCACCTTTGACAGCTCCTTCGCACCTGCCGGGTGTCGGCATGGGGAAAAAGGGCTTGAAAATAACTCCAAGACACTTTTTGAGTCGGCATGGGGAAAAAGGGCTTGAAAATAACTCCAAGACACTTTTTGAGTCGGCATGGGGAAAAAGGGCTTGAAAATAACTCCAAGACACTTTTTGAGTCGGCATGGGGAAAAAGGGCTTGAAAATAACTCCAAGACTCTTCTTACCTTCCCCTGGGAGTAGAAAGGCTTTGAGCGTCTAACCTTCCCCTTGTCATCCTCGACGCTCTTGCTGGCTTCAAGGTAAGGACGAACGGGGAAGGGACATGTAGGCAGAGATGGTAGACACGACGAGGAAGCTTCAGAAGACGAGGGACCTTCATAAGCACGTAACTCACATTTATCGCACACCATGCTGGTTCCACGGGGATAAGATTCCTTGTTATTCGCTTCCTTGCTATAAGCTTCCCCCAATATGCTTCCTTGGTATAAGCTTCCCCCAATACGCTTCCTTGGTATAGACCTCCGTGAAGAACGCAAGCAGGGAGGAGAAAATAGGGATAACCGACTTTTTACTCGACAAGAAGAACCCTACAGCGCTACAGAAGCACCCTCGGTAATGCTGTGCCTTGGTAAATCAAGGGCGGAAGCCAAGCCTACAGTCTCTTGATCACCCTACACCGGTGCGAAGCGGAAGGAGTGAGCAAAACCTGGCCTGCAGACGAGAGTAGGACTGTACGTAAACAGCCACTATCTAGCGTACTGAGTGAGGCTGCTGACACGCTTGGTCTGAGAATTTAAAGGCACGCAGCGACTAGCAACTCGAGTATTTTAGTGTGGGCAAGGGCGTGCCTGAGAAATCTTTGTTCCGTTATAAGGTCGCGATGGTACAACACGCTGACACTTTGTTAACACTCGCAATTTGTTCTGAATGTACAATGTCGCGAAACATAACTTTCCAACTCATATGGAATAACAGCTTGTGAACAGTGTTAGGAAAACCTAATTCAGTTTTCAGGTTGTACACTGCACAGTATGAGGTCGTCGTATAAGTTACGCCTAACTAAATTTCGAAACCAAGCTAGATTTCACAAGAGCCTCCACATTTTGGCTCGATATCCCCCTCAGAACAACGCGACGACGACGACAACAGCCAAGGCGACGGAAGAAAACAGCTGCCATAAGCTCCGCGCATATACCCCTGGCGCACCGCTCTTTGGCGGAGGCGGAGGCGAAGGGGAAGAATGATTTGGCGGAGAAGAGGACGGCAGGACCTGTGGGGGGGGCGACGCGCTGGGAGGATACGCTGAAGCGCTAGCGAAACCCGACGATTCAGCTAGTTGCCGTCCGCCTTCGCCCATCCCGGCGGCGATAGAGAGATCACCGGCGGTGAGAGAGAGTAATTCGTCGACGGAGGGAGGCAGGAGGAGCGCGTTGACGGTGTGAACCACGACCGTGCTGCTCTCCCCGTCTTTGGCACTTAGTTGCGCGGACGTGGCGGCGGAAAGGCGCTCTTCGGGGGAGAGGGGAGTCAAGGAGAGCGTGAGCGCACGGTACTGCTTGACGCTGGTTCCGCCGACCTGGAACGCCAGCGCGTCCACGTGGAGTGCGATAGACGCGCCTTGCATCGTCTCGTACGACCCTTCCCACGCGAACGCGGAGACGGGGCGCGCGACCACGTGGTACAGGAGCACGTCGCGGAGCAGCGCGGCGTTGCGCGGAAGCTTGAGGAACGCGAGGAGCGCGGGGTCCGCGCGCATGAGCGCGACGTTGGTCGGCGCGAACACGGTCAGCGCGGATCCGAATCGCGCGCGGAGTTCGAGCTCTGGCATGAGTCCCGCGTGCTTGATAAGGCTCGAGAATCCCGTGATTCCCGCCGACGAGAGCTCTCTTTCCAAGGACGAATCGATGCTAGAAGAGAACATGTCGGATGATTCGTGTGCGGATTCCGCGGATGCGAGCATTCTGGCGGGTTGTGACGAGCCGAGAAGGAGCTGGACGAGCGGGAGCATGGCGACGACTAGAGCTGATCGCGACATCGTGTGCTTGCGAGGAGAGAGTCGATCGTCGGGGCTGAGATCTGAAATGCGGAGGCTGAAATGCGGAGGCGACTTAGTGATTGCTGAAAGCGCTGCAGAACCACGTACACACATAATGTTAGAAGTAAGGTTTGGTGAGGTTGTTTAGTGGCACCAGACGTACTAAATACTCCGAGTGGTTTGCAGAACGAGTTGTTAGAAGTAAGATTTGGTGAAGTTGATTAGTGGCACCAGACGTACTAAATACTCGGCTTGTGATCGACGGGTCTGGGGCTGTGCCTTATGTCGCGTGCTGCTGGCTCCTGGGGATGCGTGACATGCGGACCAAACCCGTGTACTCGGAGGCGCGCCACAGTCGGGGCTGAAAGGTAAGGGTGTTGTGGCTCAATGCGATCTTCACGTTTTTGAAGCTTTCGAATGCAATCTAGAGCGGTTGGGTAAAGTAATGCGCGAAAATGCAAATTCGGTTTGCACATATCTCAAAGTTTGGTCGGTCGGATTATGGGGCGCAGCGGATGAGTCAATGTCGGGAATGGGTACAACACAAGCCTTTCAGGTTTGCTCAAAAGCGCAAAGCTGGGAGGGCGCGCAAAGCTGGGAGGGCGCGACAAGTTCGGTGGTGTTGGCTTGGCGGTTGGTTCGGGGGAATAGATCTGGGAACGGGGAGGGGGAGGTAGGAAACAGGGGAAGATCTTCTACGGCACGCCACGCGACTCCAGGCGCGGGGGCAGCGGCTTGCGCAGCGCAGTCAGATGGAGCGGTAAATGGATTTGTGGAAGCTTCTGGTTTACTGTGTGCCAAACGTGGAAGAAAACCGTAGCAAACTTGCACGATAATAGTAAAGAAAACTTATAAGAGGTACAAATCAGCCACTGTTTGCTTGTACGCGGTAAAAGAGGCGGTCATATGTAAAAAAATACTTATAGCTCTCAACTTTTGACATACAAGGGTTATGGAACTCTTGCACCACTGTTTCGGTTTCCATCGGTTTATGTGGGTCAGTTCCAACATCCAACACTCCTCTCACAATACCACGTGGGTTCATTACCTCGCCTCACGAGGCACTTCAACACACATCAGCACAGCTGAATCTCTCCGCTTACAGCTGAGGCGGCTGAGCTGACGTGTCCGCCTCCGGTCATTCTCTCTGTCCGCCTTCTTAAAATCCACCTCAAAGTCGTCACCGTCCCCCCAGGGCCCCCGTTATGTCCGCTAACTGCTCCCGCCTCGCGCGGCTACTCTCCCGCTCCGCATTCGCAATTCCTCCAAGCGCGCCCTACAGTAGCCATCGCACGGTCAGCCATTTTACCTCAACTCGGTCCCTGTCGACTATTTTCAACTACAGCAAGTCTACCGCGCGCGCAGCATCCCATTTCGCGGAACCTTCGTGCCCGCGAGAGTGGAACCCCCTGGTGGGGCGTGTCTTAGGACCGCTAAGCGCGCCGAGTCTCGCCTCCGCGAATCCGCGCAGGGGGTCGTCGGGCGTGGCGGTAGCGCGCGCCAGCTCCGCGGACGAGAATGCAGCGCGGGAGCAGGCGGAGAATGAGGCGGGGGTCGCGGAGAAAAGAGTGCGGCTCGGACTCATAGGTGAGCAGCATGAACGTGCTCTGTACATTATATGGACGAACAGCTTGTGAACAGTGTTAGGAAAACCTAATTCAGTCAGGTTGTACACTGCACAGTATAAGGTCGTATAAGTTACGCCTTTCTAAATGTCGCCGAAACCTAATTAGATTTCGCCAGAGCCTCCACAGTTCGGCTCGATGTCCCCCTCAGAACAACGCAACGACGACGACGACAGCCAAGGCGACGGAAGAAAACAGCTGCCATAAGCTCCGCGCATGCGCACCGCTCTTAGGTGGAGGCGGAGGCGGAGGGGAAGAAGGGGTTGGGGGAGGAGGGGACGGCAGGACCGGTGGGGGGGGCGACGCGCTGGGAGCAGACGCTGAAGCGCTAGCGAACCCCGACGATTCAGCGAGTTGCCGTCCGCCTTCGCCCATCCCGCCAACGATAGAGAGATCGCCGGCGCTGAGAGAGAGTAATTCGTCGACGGAGGGAGGCAGGAGAAGCGCGTTGACGGTGTGAACCACGACCGTGCTGCTCCCCGCGTCGTCGGCGCTTAGTTGCGCGGACGCGGCGGCGGAATCTGCGGCTTTACCGGAAAGGCACTCTTCAGGGGAGAGGGGAGTCAATGAGAGCGTGAGCGCGCGGTATTGCTTCACGCTGGTTCCGCCGACCTGGAACGCCAGTGCGTCCACGTGGAGCGCGATCGGCGCGCCCTGGAGCGTCTCGTACGAGCCTTCCCATGCGAACGCGGAAACGGGCCGCGCGACCACGTGGTACAGGAGCACGTCGCGGAGCAGCGCGGCGTTGCGCGGAAGCTTGAGGAACGCGAGGAGCGCGGGGTCCGCGCGCATGAGCGCAACGTTGGTCGGCGCGAACACGGTCAGCGCGGATCCGCATCGCGCGCGGAGTTCGACCTCTGGCATGAGTCCCGCGTGCTTGATAAGACTAGCGAATCCCGTGAGTCCCGCCGCCGACAGCTCTCTTTCCAAGGACGAATCGACGCCAGAAGAGAACACGTCAGATGATCCGTGCACGGATTGCGCGGATGCGAGCATTCTGGCGGGCTGTGACGAGCCAAGAAGGAGCAGGACGAGAGGGAGCATGGCGACGACTAGAGCTAAGCGCGTCATCGTGCGATTGAGAGGTGAGAGACGATCGGCGGCGCTGAGATCTGGAATGCGGAGGCGACTTAGTGAATGCTGAGAGCGCTGCAGAACCACGTACGCAGATAATGTGACCGATCTGTGCTTGAATAACCCTGGAGATCTGAAATGCCAAGTGGTTTGCAGAATAAGTGGTTAGAAGTAAGATTTGGAGAAACTGTCCAGTGCCAGAGGTCCTAAATACTGCGCTTGCGATGGAAGGGTCTGGGCTGTGTGCCTTGTTCGCGTGCTGCTGGCTTCTGGGGGTGCGTGACATGCAGACCAAACCTGTGTTCTTGGAGGCGCGCCACAGTCGGGGCTGAAATTAGGGTGTCCCCAGAAAGACCGGCTCACTGCGATCTTCACGTTTTGAAGCTTTCGAATGCAATATAAAACGGTTGGGTAATTGTTTGAGCGAAACTGAATATTTGGTTTGGACACATCTCAAAAAGTTGGTCGGTTGGTTCATTGGGCGCAGCGGGTGAGTCAATGTGGGGAATTGGTTCCAACCTGTCAGCTTGGCTCAAAAGTGCACAGGTGGGAGGGCGCGACGAATTCGGTGGTGTTGGCGGTTGGTTCGGGGGAATAGATCTGGGAACGGGGGGACGAGGGTAGGAAACAGGGGAAGATCTTCTACGGCACGCCACGCGACTCCAGGCGCGGGGGCAGAGGGTTGCGCAGCGCAGTCGGATGGAGCGGTGAATGGATTTGTGGAAGCTTCTCGTTTACCGTGTGCCCAAAGTGGAAGAAGATCGTTGAAAATTCCTACGATGATAGAGTACAAAGCTTATAAGAGGTGTAAAACAGCCCTTGTTCTCTTGTACGCGGTAAAAGAGGCGGCCATGACTTGAGCGGAACAAATAACAGTATAAGGTGGGATTATTCACCTTTTATTGAACAGGAGTTATGGAACTCATGCACCATTTTCGGTTCCCATCGGTTGATGTCGGTCCGTTCCAGCATCCTACACACCACTCACAACAACACGATGTGGGTTCATTACCTCGCCTCTTTTCATCACTAGGCATTTCCAACACACGTCAGCACAGCTGGATCCCTCCGCTTACAGCTGAGGCGGCTGAGCTGACGTGTCGCCTCCGATAATTATTTCTATCTGCATTCTTCAAATCCACCTCGAAGTCGTCAAGGTCCCCCCGCCATGTCCGCTAACTGCTCCCGCCTCGCGCGGCTACTCTCCCGCTCCGCATTCGCGATTCCTCGAAGCGCGCCCTACAGTAGCCATGGCTCGGTCAGCCATATTAACGCGTCTCGGTCCCTGTCGACTATTTTCAACCACTCCAAATGTACCACTCGGGCAGCACCCCATTTCGCGGAATCTTCGCGCCTGCGAGCGTGGAACCCCCTGGTGGGGCGTGTCCTCGGGCCGCTAAGCGCGCGGAGCCTCGCCTCCGCGAATCCGCGCAGGGGGTCGTCGGGCGTGGCGGTAGCGCGCGCCAGCTCCGCTGAAGAGAATGCAGCGCGGGAGCAAGCGGAGAATGAGGCGGGGGTTGCGGAGAAGAGGGTGCGGCTCGGGTTTATAGGTCAGCACTGACGTCATTTTTGTAAATTTCTCAACAGCGCAGCTTTTGACGTGGCTTAGTGGCCCTCTCCTCCCCCCTCTCCCCTCCCGTTCTCCTCCCTTCCCCCCCCCCCCCCCCCCCCCCCCCCCCCTCTTCCGCTCTAAAATACTGTGGATTCCCTCACCACGCCAGGGGCGGGGCAGATGGCGGAAGCTTTGGCGCGGGGGCTGAGCGCAGCTTTTGAGGCAGCTCAATAGACTTCCCCTCCCCTCCCCCCTCCCCTCCGCCCTTCCCTTCCTTTCCGCTTCCCCCCACGCCAGGGGCGGGGCAGATGGCGGAGGCGCTGGCGCGGGGGCTGAGCGCGGCAGGCGTGGTGGACATTGCTGACATGGCAGCTGCTGACGTCAACAGTGACAGGCTGGCGGTGTTTCAAGGCATAGGCATCGACACCAAGGAGAACGCCAGGGAGGTGAGGGGAGGGGAGGGGAGAAGGGGGATTGGGGGGGATTGGGGCAGGGGAAGTAGGGGGTGAATCCTGAGTCGACTCAAGGCATCGGAATCTATACCAAGGAGAACGCCAGGGAGGTGAGGGGAGGGAGATTTGGGACTGGGGAACGCTAAGGGGGGACGGGGGAATGGGGATAAGGGATAGAGGGGGTGTTTCAAGGCATTGGCATTGGCACTGGCACCAAGGAGAACGCCAGGGAGGTGGGGTGGGGGAGGAGGGAGGAGTAAGGAAGAGGGGAAGGGGGTGGGGGGGGGGGGGGGGGAATGGGGGAATGTTGAGTAAAGAGAAGGGAAGCATACCCTGAGGTGTATTTTGAGGCGCCACGTGATTGAAGAAGTGTTTTGAGGTGCCACGTGATTGAAGAAGTGTTTTGAGGCGCCACGTGATTGAAGAAGTGTTTTGAGGCGCCTCAAAGTACACCTCAACGCTCAAGAAGGGAAGGGAAGCCTACCCTGCCATGCCACTCTCACTTCCTGTATTGAGGGTGTTTTTGAGACGTCTGAAAAATACCCTCAATACTCGTGGCTTCTCTATTTCTGGTGGTGGTGAGAATGGGGGAATGTTGAGTAAAGAGATGGGAAGCATACCCTGCCTGCCACTCTCACTTCCTCCCCTCAACTCAACCCAAAGCAGATTGAGCAAGATTTCCAAGGCAGGTCTCTCTCCCGTTCCCCCACCCTCCCCCGCTTTCCTTCTCCCCCTTCCCCACTCCCCCCTTCACGCCCCCCCTTCACCCCATTCCCCACTCCCCTTCCCTTCCACCAGGTGGCTGCCAGCAGTGACGTCATCTTCGTTGCAGTCAAGCTGAAACCTGCTCCAGCCCATTGAAACCGCTCTCTCTTCAAGCACCCCATTTCCCACCTCCCTTTCACCTTCCCTTCCCCCAGGTGGCGGCCAGCAGTGACGTCATCTTCATTGCAGTCAAGCCAGCTCTTGCTGCAACCCAATAAGTCGTGTTTTGAGTCGACTCAAAAGAGCAGCTCGCTGAGAATTATGTCAGAAGGCCAACTCTTGCTGCAACCCAATAATAAGACCCTTTTCCTTTAACACCCCTTCACCTTCCTCCCTCGCCGCTTGACCTCCCACCCACATCCCCACAACCAGGTGGCGGCCAGCAGTGACGTCATCTTCATTGCAGTCAAGCCGTTCGCCGTGCAGCCGGTACTCGCTGACCTGGCGGCCTTGGGCGCGCTGACGGAGCGCCACCTCATCGTGTCGATCGCTGCGGGCGTGCCACTTGGCAAGATGCAGCAGTGGGCGGGGGAGGGCGTGCGGATAGTGCGAGTCATGCCCAACACGCCCTGCCTTGTCGGTGCCACTGCTGCTGGTGAGAGGGATGAGAGTAGTGGGTCTCCTCCTCTGCCCCTGCTTGCACCAACGTGTGTTTTTTGAGAATTCTCGTGTGTTTTTTGAGAATTCTCGTGTGTTTTTTGAGAATTCTCGTGTGTTTTTTGAGAATTCTCGTGTGTTTTTTTAGAATTCTCGTGTGTTTTTTTGAGAATTCGCGTGTGTTTTTTTAGAATTCTCGTGTGTTTTTTTAGAATTCTCGTGTGTTTTTTTAGAATTCTCGTGTGTTTTTTGAGAATTCTCAAAAAACACACGCTCCTCTGCCACTGCTTGCACCAAGATGCAGCAGGCACACAGGGGTCGTGCCGATCATGCGCTGGTGAGGGCCATGTCGTTGTGGCGCTCCAAACATCACCTCCTCTCCCCTCCATCCCTCTCCTCCTATTTTGCAACCCCTCTGCCAGCCATGAGTCTTGGGGAGCGCGCAGCAGAGCAGGGCGGGGAGCTGGTGAGTGCCATGTTTGTTGAGGCACCTCCTCTCTCCCCCCCTTATTCCCCTCTATTTCCCCCCATGCCAGCTATGAGTCTGGGAGAGAGCGCAACAGAGGAAGATGGGGCGTTGGTGAGGGCCATGTTTGGTGCCGTGGGGGAGGTGTATGAGGTGGAGGAGCGCCTGCTCGATGCCGTTACTGGGCTCAGGTGATTCCAACAGAGCCTCAGGTGATTTCTACTGATTTCAACAGAGGCTCAGGTGATTTCAACAGAGGCTCAAGTGATTTCAACAGAGGCTCAGGTGATTTCAACTGATTTCAACAGAGGCTCAGGTGAGTGTTCCTGTGCCCCTGCTTACCATGTCTCCCTTTCTCCTCGTCTCCCCTTCTTTCTACTGCAGTGGCAGCGGGCCAGCAGCATATGTGTGTGACTTTTGAGAATTCTCAAAAGTCACACCAATACTCCAGCAGCATATGTGTTTGTGGCAATAGAGGCGCTAGCGGATGGTGGCACGGCTGCAGGGCTGCACCCCTGCTTACCACTCACTCCCCTCTTCTCCCCGTCTCCCCTGCTCCTCTTTTTCCCACTGCAGTGGCAGCGGGCCAGCATACGTGTTTGTGGCGATAGAGGCTCTGGCAGATGGTGGGACAGCTGCAGGCCTTCCTCGGAAGGTGGCTCTCTCACTCGCTGCTCAGACGGTGAGATGTTGTGAGAGGTGATATGCGATGAGGTGAGGTGAGATGAGGTGAGGTGAGGTGAGGTGCGACGAGATGTGGAGAGGTAATGTGGTGAGATGGGATGGGAAGGTGGCCCTCTTCCGTGCTGCTCAGACGGTGAGAGGTGTTGTCTTTGTGGGGTGAGGTGGGGCGAGATGGTTGATGGGAGGCCAGGAGTGGGATTGCTTGCGGGGGGAGTTTTCAAAAGTGGTGTGCACATTTTGGTTCTGCCTCACCAGGTGAAGCAAATGAATCCCTGCTGATGAATCATGGCTGATGAGTCATTGTTGGCATTCTTTTCGCATTGGCCTCACCAGGTGAAGCAAATGAATCCCTGCTGATGAGTCATGGCTGATGAGTCATTGATGGCATTCTTTTCGCATTGGCCTCACCAGGTGAAGCAAATGAATCCCTGCTGATGAATCATGGCTGATGAGTCATTGTTGGCATTCTTTTCCCCCCTTCCCCGGCAGGTGTATGGAGCGGCCAAGATGGTGATCGACACACAGAAGCACCCAGCCCAACTTAAAGACTCCGTCGCATCGCCAGCAGGTAATTTTTTCGACCACCATTCCTGTACGCCACTCTCGTTGCAGTGTTTTCACCAACGTTGACTGCCGTGCAGATGGACTCTCTTTCTCTCTCCCGCGCCCCCGTTGACTGCCGTGCACTCACCAACTCAGCATTATCACTCTGTGCCGGCTACTCTAGTAACTTTAATTTCCCCTCCCTTACCTCTCTCCCTGCCCTTTTGTGCACCGTGCAGGGTACCACCATTGCCGGCCTGCATGAGCTTGGGAGGGGCGGGTTCCGATCGCTGCTCATGAATGCCGTTGTTGCTGCTGCCAACCGCATAAGTGCACTCACTCTGTACCCACACACCCACTCACCCACTCACCCACTCACCCACTCACCCACCCCCACCCCCACCCCCACTCGACTATCCCACTTTGACCACCATGCAGGCACCACCATTGCCGGCCTGCATGAGCTTGAGAGGGGCGGGTTCCGATCGCTGCTTATGAATGCCGTGGTTGCAGCTGCCAACCGCAGCAAGGAGCTGTCCAATTGATCGCCAGCCAGACTCAGATGGACAGAGAATCCTTGGAGTTCATTCAATGGGTATTGCTTCTCCATGCATGCCGTGGTTGCAGTTACCAAGCCAACGGCTTTCCCTTTACCGTATTATATTCTCAACGGCTGTTCCAATTGACATCTATCTCTTCGGGACATGTTATTTACCAAGAATGGCTTTCCCTTATTTTCTTCGGCCCATCAGGGGAGGGGAGGAGGGAAAAGAGGGGGTGGAGGTATTTCTCTTTATGAGAGCAGTGTTGATTGCATTGCATTAGCAGCACATACGCTGATTCTTTATACCAACTAGGAGGGAACATCGTGTTCCCGCTATTCCTGTTGTGATAACATTAACTACATGCACAAGTACTGTACCATCTTTGTGAAATTAAAGTACAGTACTGGTGGTAGATGGGAATCTCATGTCTCAGTTACACTTGGACAGCTCTTTTAGAAAACTCTAGTAGAACATCCACCTGACTGCAGAGAGAGCTGGCATGTAGATTGGCTGAACTTACAGACAGTATCAGCCAGGTGAAATTCGATAAATAACTCAATAAATGATAAGAATTACCTTGGCATCATTGTTCCTGCCGACCAGGTAACCTCTTCCCTACTTACCGTAGCTATCTGGGCTCCTATCCTACCCTGCTAGGTCCCATAATTTCCCTACAGGGCTCATACAGCCTTCAAATTGCTGAAGGCTGCGGCCCAACTCGCCCCTACGCAGGCTAACACTGATTCTGCTGCCCCTCATTTCACTCCAGTCTCTCCCCAGCTGCTTGTCATCAGCAGCAGGAGCGCTTCTAAAGGAGCAGCAGGAGCGCTTCTAAAGGAGCAGCAGGAAGAGCAGCGGGAGGAGGTTCGAAGGTAAAGCACCAGGCAGCGCTGTTATTACTCTTGGTTGATTGGCTCAGGTGGATCGTAGTCTCGGGAAGGACTCTCGAACGCTGCTCACACACGAGCTGGCAGCAGCCAGAAGCTGTTGCGCAGTTGCAGTAGCAGCAGCAGTGGCAGCAGCGGTAGCAGCTGCAGGCGCTCCCCCGCAGCACCCACCCTCTGAGCCAGCCTCGGCCCGAGCCTTCTCTCCAGGTTCGCCGCCGCACAGCACATCGATAACACAGTCCTTGGTGTCTAACACTCCCACCTTCTCCTCCGCTCCCTTCACCACTGTCACCGGCCGGTGCTTAGCTAAAAGCCACGCCATTTCCTTCTCGTCAATGTGCGTAAACAGCCCATCGGCAGGAAAAACGCTTCTCGAAAACGCCGTCACTAGCCGCTCGTTGAACTTATGATGCAGGTACACCACGGGAAGATCATTCGGGTCGAAGCGAAACGGCTCTTCGATCTCCCTCGCGACTTCGTTGAGAAGGTAGAAGGAGAAGACGGAGAGGAGGGTGATGGCGGAGGCTAGGAGGGGGTCGGCGAGCCAGTCGGCCATGAGGAGCGGGATGACGAGGGCGTTGATGTGCAGGAGGAGCGCCACACACTGCGCGAAGGGGAAGGGGAAGGGCGTGTTCACGATCTTGAGCGCGTTCTCGTACCCCAGCATGCCGTCTGTAAGAGGGGGGGAGAGAGGGGGAGGGAGCGAGGGATAGGGAGGTAAGGAAGGGGAGGGAAGCAGCGAGCACATCAGGAGGCAGAAGAACAGCAGCAAGCATACTCTAGGAGCGTCCCGTGACATGTCCCCCTCCACGCGACGTGTCACTCTTTAAGTCGACTCAACAAATACCCCACATGCCCACCCTCACCTGACAGCACTTGGTATATTCTCGACACAATAGGTGCGTCTTGGGAAATCCCTCCCGCCATGCGACGAGCCACGAGCGCCCGGTGCAGCCAGCACATCACCAGGTACACACGGTCGCGGGAAGGTTCCAGGATGCTGCACTCCGTGAGGTTCACGCCCCCCAGCACTGCCAGCGGCAGCGCCCTCCAGTACTTCTCGAGATGGGGGCGGTGGGCTCTCAAGAAGACAAGGGACCTGTGATGGCATGGGTAAGAGGCATGGGTTGGAAAATGGATGGATGGAAGGCATGGGTTGGAGGAGGGATGGGAGCTTAGAAGTGCAACCTGTAATACCAAACCCAGCCCAAACCAACCCAACCTAGCCCAGCCGAAACAAGAGCAACTCAGGACAGCGCAACACTCACTTGTTTCCGCGTACTCGGTTCCACTCCTCCACCTGATCAGCGTCCACTGGTGGCTCTGGTGGGATGTCCATGAATCGACCTGCACGGGAGAGAACGAGGAAGAAAAGTAATCAGATTTTGAAGGCACCTTTTGTTATGAAGTCCAACGGGGAAGGGAAAGTCGAAGCAAGAGTTTTTAGGCGCCTAGAAAATCGGAAGTAAAAGGCACAGCAAACTCGTGGAGCAACGGTGAAAGGCAGGGAGTCGAAGCACGCACCATAAGTTAAGTTGCTCAGGTAGGAGTCTCCTCTTAGTCTCTGCTCCGCACGGATATCAAACAGGGCGATGGAAAGGGGTGGGAGGTGGGACCGGGGGGGGGGAGAGAATAAGTCGCACGGACAAGAGAGAGAGGGTGAAAGTGAGCAAATGAAGCATATTGGTGAGCAAGGGTTTAGCACGGGCAGAAGTTTAAGCGAGCGTGTGCATGGATGCTCAGGTTGCTGATTCACAAGCCATGCTGCATACCTGCAGCGCGAGCGCGTGCATGAGGCTCATGGTGTGTACAAACTCGGAGCGGAATCGAATCCCGCCCGGCACGGGCTCCTTGGCTCCTTCGTCGAACGATATGACCTGCGGAAGGAGCACAGGGGAATGGAGGACGAGCGAAGCTGATTGGCCAAATGACGAAACGGTTGACGGCGCGTAGAGAGCGAATGTAATAACTAAATGAGATTGCGGATTGCAACACCGATGGCTCACCTGGATTGCTGCGTCGCCCCATTTCGAGCTGCACAGCACGCGAGAGAGTTAGGGAGAGGGAGAAAAACAGGGAGTTTTGAAACGGAAGCGAATAGCGATTATTGAAACAAATTAAAAGGAACAAAAATAAAGAGAACGAAACGGAGTGAAGGCCATGAAATGGCGAGGAAGGAAGGATTGCGGCAAGGACGAGACGGCGGACGGACCTCATTTGAGCGAGCATTGTTCGCCCCTCCCAGTATCTCTGCGACAAACAGACGCCACGGGATAATAAAAAATAACACGGTCGAGAAGAAGAATTGGAGTTAAGAGCATTGAAAAGGCAAGCCAAAACAAATGAGTACAAGAAGGCGCGGAAAGCCAGCGTCTGTTATTGATCATTCTCATCACGGCCGTGGCTGTCTCGAATTCCGTCTCGACTTCTGTTGAGCAAATTGATCCTCACTCGGCCAATTTATCACATTCCGCAGAGTCCGTCGTATTGTTTGGCGCGCGATTTCGTCGAGCCGTCTTCGGGTGAGCAGGCTTACCGCGTAGCTGAGATTGGTGCGGAAGATGAGGATGAAGGCGACGACGCCGCTGAAGACGGCATCTGCGGTGGAGCACGCAGCGCGCACGAGGGACGCACGAGGGACGAGACGAGGGACGCAAGGGAGAAGAAGAGTCAGGTAGACCGCGGCTATTGGGAAACAGATGGGGAAAACGCATGATTACAGCAGCGAGGCCGTTCAATACGCACTATGAAATTACTGGGAATTCGGCAGTGCTTTATTCAGAATTCTCAGAGAGGGTGAGAGGAAGAAGGGAGAACAGGGAGTGAGGCTCACAGGGGTATGGGTGGAGGAAGAGGTGTTGGGATTTATCGACGAATATGAACGCGGAGAGAAGTCCGGCGAGAATGGCGCTAGGCAGGGCGAGCAGCGTCGCTCGCGGCCATTGCGAGCCGTAGAATCTCAACAGAAGATTGAAAGCTCCGAATCTCTTCTCGTAGTTTATCATGGCTGCGAGTCAGTAGAGGACTAATATAAGTGATGAGTGCGAGAGAACAGAGCTAATATGAGATGTGAATTCAGCAGATGACCAAACGTCGAAACAAGGCTGACAGCGGAGTCGAGAGTTCGTCTCCTAATAAATAGATATTTTGTCAGCGCATGACCTTCTAACAAGCACATATTTTTATAGATCCTTCTCGGCAATCCCTAGGGTTGGTTTGTTTGCTGGTTGATTGGCTGGTTATTTGGTTGGTGTGTGTTGGTTGGTGGTCCAGGCAACAATTTGGCTGATCAGCGTTGGGTGCATTCACTGTATTTTGGTGGCTGCCCGAGCTCCCCGCGTCTGCTCTCTGATAACGCTGGTGGTGTGGTCTGGTCTGGTGTGGTCTTCCCTGGCCAGTCAATTGACTGCCCGATCTCTTCTGAGCCTGTCATGTTCCCGAATCCTGAACCATCTTCAACATGAAAGTATCGTCAAGTCTCTCCATTCAACATGCCCCTCGTATACGGGCATCTTGAAATTCCTGAACATGAGGGAAGTCCCAGTCGGTTTGCTGACGGGAAGCGTTCACTTGCAATATGTTTTGCTATGCCCGTACCGAACGAAACCCACATCGGACCAGCCATCCATGGCAGGTAATCGCGTCGCGCCGCTCCCGTGGCGGCTGACGTTAATTTTCGGCGCAGATTTCCGCAGCTGTGTGGATGACTGTGACAGAGAGCCATCAACCATTGCTCGAGCCGGAATTCCAGGGTGACGTGGGGCTGACACGCGGGCGGGACGCGCTGGAACTGAGGAGTCATCGATCTCCAATCGTAGAGGAGATTAACTCGCTTGAACCTGCGAAATTGTTGGATGGTTTGAATCTCAAGGGGAACTTGTACTGTAGTGCAAGGTCCAGCCCCACCCTTGAAAGCCTGGAAGGTTCCTCCAACCGAATGATTTCGCTCAGCCAGTCGTTCGGAGTGCTATAACATCGCACGCGATGAAGCGGTCCCGCTGCTGCGACGAAGGATGCCAGCCGAACAATTAACCGACGTCTTTGTTTGTCGCAGTTGCAGCGGGACGGTAAGGTGTCACAGTTGCTTCGATTAGGGGTGTCACGCGCTTACCCTCACGGTAAGTCTCTTAACCGTATAATTACGTTATGTTAGGAAGCGATGGTATTGATTCTGTGTTACCATGTAACAGTAGATGACATTTGTCAGACATGATAACACCATTGCGCAATGATAATAGGCAGGCTGAGTCTATTGGCTGCGCCTACCACATGCATGGGGTACAAAAACTGCTGCCCCAATCACTTCCAGTTAGTAGTACACCGATATAGAATCCTGGTACATTTGCCAAGTTCACTAACACCAAATGTTGGTTCAATCACAGAAGAAATCTGCACTCAGCTGCCTCTCTTCTCAGGCTGCACCAGTTCCACCTGCACCATCTGTCCCCGGTGCAGCAGATGAAGACCCCCCTGCCATTCCAGTTCAACAAGCAAGCACATCCCCACACAGCTTCAGGGACACGGGAACAACTACGGTACCACAACTGTGGAAACACAAGTACTGCAAAAAAAAAACGAGACGAAACTTGACAAGGGTGTAGGCGTGGGCATATTACCTGCAGCCCCCCTGCCTCTGCCACGGCCGCGTGGGCTAGAGGTTCCCCGTCCACCTGTCTGGACGAGGCTGATCACCCGCGTGCCCCGGCCCTGAACACGGGGTGCGTGGATAGTGCGTGTGAGGGGATGTGGCAGGGAAGGAGTGGAAAAGATGAGCGGACAAGGGGACGTCTCAGGGATGATCGGCCGCGTGGGCTAGAGGTTCCCCGTCCACCTGTCTGCATGAGGCTCATCACCCGCGTGCCCCGGCCCTGCACACGGGGTGCGTGGATAGTGCGTGTCCAAAGATTCGGGGATATGTAGAGTGGAAGGGATGCAAGGGGATATGTAGAGTGGAAGGGATGCACGGGGATATCACAGCTATTATGCATGCGTGGGCGTTACACAAAAGTCGTTCAGAAAATCAAAGAGCACAGAGTGACACAACAAGCATCAAAACACAGCAGAGCTGCTCCTGAAGAAACAGACACACATGTCACTCACCCTTGCACCTCGGCCGCGGCGGGGGGAAGTAGCAGCCCCAAATCGAGCCTGCCTGGCGGCAGCGCGCTGAGCCGCCTCCCCTTCCCCTGCACCGCCACCCTCTCTCGCCTCCCCACGCCCTCCACCTCGCCCTGCCGTTGCTGCCGCCACTGCTGCAGCCCTGCCTCTCAGCCCTGCTGTGGACCTCCTGGGTCGGGAGGCCATTCCTACTGTAGCCGTCTCTGCTGTGGCAGCTCCCGCTGTGCCTGTTCCCGCTGTAGCTGCTCCTGCTGTGCCCACCTCGGTACCCGGCTGCTGTGTTGCTGCTCCCTCCACTGCCGCTGCTCCACCAGCAGTACCGGCAGTGCCGGCAGCACCGGGAGCACCAGCGGTAGAATCAGCAGTGGCAGTAGTCGCAGCACCTGTAGAAGCGGGAGCAGCAGGCACTGCAGCAGAGGTATCCCAAGGAGAAACATCAGGTGCCCCTTCAGGTGCTGCAGCAGGTGTGCCTTCAGGAGTTGGAGTTGGTGCCCCACCACCCACCTCTGCTGCTGCTCCCCCCGTCGCTCCCGCAGCAGCACCGCCATACTCCCCAAGTCCTCCCTCTTCCTGCTGCTGCAGCCCCTCTTCCTGCTGCTGCAGCCCCTCCCCCGCTTTACCCTCACCCTCCCCCCCGCCCTCCACCTCCATACCCCCCTCCTCCCCCACATCCGCCATCTCATGCTCATCTCCCCCTCCCCCTTCCCCTCCCCCTTCCCCTCCCCCATCCCCTTCCCCCTCCCCCTCAAACATACCCCCTTCCCCTTCATACTCCTCATGCCCGCCCTCCTCACCCTCCCCGTCCGCCCCCTCCCCCATGGCCTCATTCCCCTCCTCCCCCTCCCCCACGCCATGCTCCCCCCCATCCTCGTCCTCCCCCAAACCCTCGACGTGAATCTCTGGAACTTCTGCTCCCCCGCCTGCCTCTACTCCTGCCCCTGCCTCTGCTGCCCCGCCTGCCTCTGCTGCCCCGCCTGCCTCTGCTACCCCACCTGTATCCCCTGCGCCCATCCCTTCCCCCTCCCCTTCCGCTTCTGCCCCTGTGCTATCACCACCTGTCCCTTCTCCTGATGCCCCTTCTCCAGTAGGCCCTTCGCCAGGCACGAGGGCTGCAGACTCACCAGCCCCTGTGGGGGTAAGTGGAGGGGTGGGGGTGGGTGAGCGGGGAGGAGTGGCAGGAACAGCAGCAGCATCGGCAGCAGCAGCATCGGCAGCACCAGTGGCACCTTCCCCTCCTGCTCCTTCCCCTTCTGTTGCTGCTGCTGCTTCCTGCCCCTGCATGTCACCCACCCCTGCTGCTCCCACCAGCGCACCCTCCCCCACCTCCACACCTGCACCCTGCTCTTTTTGCTGCTCCTTCTCCTCTGCCCTTTCTCCTGCCATTCCCTCAACTGCTTCGCCTGCCAACCCCACTTGACCGCTTTGCACCGCTTCACTCACCCCTGCGGCCCCCTGCTCTTGCGCCCCACCTTCAACCTCCATCCCACCGGCAGCAGGTGCGGCCCGAACCTCGCCTGCAGGCTCGGAAGGTACAGGTGCAGCGACAGTTGGAGCTGTGGCCGCTGGAATAGCAGCAGAAGCTGTAGGGGCAACGGCGGCAGGAGGAGCAGCAGCAACAACAGCAGCCGTATCTGCTCCTGGTGTTGCTGCTGGTGCTGGCTGTACCACAGACACACCCCCTCCGCTTGCAGCTCCTCCTGCCCCCCATGTTGCTCCTGCCCCCCCTGTTCCCCCTGCTACCCCTGCTCCTCCTGCTCCCCCTGCTGCGCCCCCAAACGAGGGTCTCATGATCCGCCTGTGCTTCACTGCCCGCCCTCCCCGCCCTGCCCCTGCCCTGCCTCCCCCTCGCCCAGCTACACCAGCAGCAGACCCCGCTGCCCCTTCTCCCCCATCCCCCCCATCGTCACCTTCCTCACCGCCGTCCCCCTCTCCTTCCGCCTCCACAGCAGCTGGAGCAGCAGCAGAGGGAGTAGCAGCGGAAGGAGCAACAGCACCTGCCCCAGGAGCAGTTGCAGCAGCAGGAGTAGTAGCAGCAGCAGCAGCAGGAGTAGCAGCAGCAGCAGCAGCAGCAGCAGCAGCAGGAACAGCAGCTGCTGTAACTGCTGTTGTCGGTGCAGCAGCATCAGCAGCAGGAGCAGCGGCGGAGGCAGTGGCAACAGAAGGGGCAGCAGCAGGGGCAGCAGCAGGAGCAGCGGCGGAGGCAGTGGCAGCAGCAGGGGCAGCAGCCTTAGCACGAGCCAGCGATTGCATGAGCATGGCCCGCAGCTTGCTGGGATCACTGGCAAAGCGGGGTGCAGCGGCAGCAGCAGCAGTGGTAGCAGCCGCCGTACCAGCAGCACGGAGAGGAGATGTAGGGGCACCAGCAGCAGCAGGAGGAGCAGGAGCAGCAGCAGTAGTGGCAACAGCAGCAGCAGTGGTAGGAGCAGCAGCAGTGTCAGGGGTGGTGTCCAAAGGCCTAGCTTTCTTCTGAGCCAGACCCTTCACCTCCCCTTCTTTTGCGCCCTCCTCTTTCATTGCATCCTCCTCCTCCTCCCTCTTCCTCTTCCCCTTCTCCTCTGCTCCACTCACCCCGCCAGCTGCACCCTCCACCTCCATTGCTCCTGCAACCTTCACCTCAGCAACACCTGGGGCGGCCACGGCAGCACCTGCCTCACTAACGGCAGCAGGGACAGCAGGGAGTGGAGCAGCGGCAGCAGGAGCAGCAGAGGGCACAACCGAGACCACAGCGGCAGGAAGAGCCGCAACAGGAGCAGCAGACTCTGCAGGAGCAGCAGACGCTGCAGGAGCAGTAGCAGGAACAGTCGTAGGAGCAGCAGGAGGAGCAACAGTGGCAGGCGCAGAAGCAGCAGCAGCAACAGTGGTAGGAGGAAGAACGACACCACCAGCCTCTGCGGTTTTCTGCATGGCTCCAAAGACAGCGTCGTACTCCTGCGATGCTGCCCTCAGCTTTGATACCACTGCCGGCTCCTCAAACGCCCCCTCCTTGCCCTGGGCGGAGAGAGGGGTGCGAGTTGGAAATAAAACGAGTGTGTGTGTGTGTGTGTACTGACACGTGACAGTAAGGCAAGAAAGAGACAAAAAATGCAAGGGCTGAGAGCGCGTGAATGGTAAACGCTCTCTTAGACGACTCAAGAGTCACCAATGAAATCAATAAACGATAAGGGAGAGAGTGCGTGGAGGGAAGAAAACGGAGGACGAAAACGAAGGGGAAGAGAAGAGAGGGACTGAGAGGGGCGGTCGAGGGGAGAAGGGGCACACGTATGGTACCTGGCGTTGCTGCTTGATCCAGTCTTCCACTGCCACCACACGCACAGAGATGGTCTCGTAGCTCTGCGCACACACAGCGCAACAGGGGGAGAGGAGGGAGGTGTGAGGGGGGCAAGAAAGATGGCACTTGTGGCAGTTGGCTCTGCTGCTTGATCCAGTCTCGGACACTGCCATCTCAGGTAGGCATGTGTCCGGTACCCCTTAAAGCCGCTGAATTGAGTCTGCGAACTTTGGCTTGTGATTCACACCCACCCACTCACTACCCAACCCACCCATCCACCCTGCCCTCTCCTCCCAGCAGCACCTCCTTGGTGCCCTGAAACGAGTCGGCAATGCTCTTGAGGTTCTCGGTCCCACCAAGCTCCATCCCACCTCACCCGCTACCCACCATCCCACTCAGCCCCACCCAGCCCCACCACCCCAAAACCAACCCCGCCCTGTCTCTGCTCCCAATCACACCTCCTTGGTGCGCCGAATTGAGTCCACAATGCTCTTGAGGTTCTTGGTCCCACCGGGTTCCAATCCAAAAAACACAACTCCATCCAACCCCACCCGATCCCACCTAGCGCCCCCAACCCCAACCCCAACCCCAACCCCACCCAATCCCACCAATCCCAACCATCCCTGATCCCACGCCCACCTCCTTGGCGCGCTGAAACGAGTCGACAATGCTCTTGAGGTTCTTGGTCCGCCTCTCCTTCTCTGCTGCCAGCTGCACCCAGCCCCACTACCCCAACCCCTCCCCTTCCCTGTTCTCAGGCGCACACACCTCCTTGGCGCGCTGAAACGAGTCCACAATGCTCTTGAGGTTCTTGGTCCGCCTCTCCTTCTCTGCTGCCAGCTGCCTCTGCAGCAACTGCACCACCCCCCGGGGAGAACGGCCACACGCCGAGAAGCAGCAAGCAAGAGACGGCCAGGAAAAGAAACGGATTAACACATCGGATCTCCGTCTTGAGTCACCGTATTCAAGAACCAGTTCAACAGAAAAGAAAAGAAAAGAAAAGAAAAGAAAAAAAAAAGGAAGGGGGAATTTCAGGCTCTAGCTAATGCCTCATGTTTACCAATTATGTAACAAAAGCTCCCCCACATGGCTTGGGGTTCTATCTGAATGGAGGCCTTACCTGAATCCGGGAGTTCAGAATCCCCTCTGCCATCGCCGCCTGCTGCTTCCCAGAAGCTGCCTCTGCGGCACTCTTCCCCTCCTCCGCCTTCCTGGCCGCTGCACCCGCTGCCGTCTGCTCCTGAAGCCTCTTCTCCAGGTCAGCCACTCGTTTCTGAGACGACTCAGAGGCTGTCTGAAGCCTCTTTTCAAGATCGGCGATGCGCTTTTCGAGCTCTGCTGCCTTGGTTTTCGCTGCTTCTGCCTCCTTGCTCTGCTGCTCCTTGGCCTGCCGCAGCTCCTCCTTCTCCTTGCTCAGCTGCTCGCCATTGCGCTGCCATGGTGGTAAGGGAAGAGACAGAGAGGCGGAAAGAGGGACAAACGAACAGATCAGATGCTAACAGGGAAGCTGACTGCTGAAGTGCCTAAGAGTATGAGCTCCTCCTTCTCCTTGCCCAGCTGCTCGCCGTTGCATTGCCACGAGAAAAAAAGGACAGACAGACACACAAACAGGCACAAACATCAGATGCTGAGAACTGAGCCTATTGGATATTGACTGTGACCCTGCATCTGACCCTGACACACTCTACACCTGCTCTAAAACCGCACAAAAATTGCCAAGTTCTGGGAATCTATGTCAGGGTTTAGGATGACTCGCTTTCAAACGGGCAGGGTCACCATCTGAAAGCGAGTCATCCTAACATGACTTCCCAAAACCCGGCAATTTAAGGATAGGGAGGCAAGGATCGCGCACCTTGAATTTGATGGCTGTGTTCCTGAGCTTGGCAAACTCTGTCTTGTGCTTTGCCTGCCATGCACCCCCACCACACCACATGCACAGTACAAACCGCACCACCCCACCCCACATACCGCACAACCGCACCACCCCACCCCACATACAGCACAACCGCACCCAGCACAGCATACACCCCACCCCATCCCACCACACACCACACCCCACACGCGCATTCCACACGCACAAGACAGAGAAACGAAGTTGCAACAGATACATAGAAATGGTTAACATAACAGAAAAAACGACAAGGAAACACAGAAAAAACGACAAGGAAACACAGAAAAAACGACAAGGAAACACAGAAAAAACGACAAGGAAACACAGAAAAAACGACAAGGAAACACAGAAAAACGCTTACGAGTTTCATACGCATATCTGCATCTGCCCTCTTCCCCTTCTCCCCTCCCACTCTCAACTTCCCACGATTTTACCCACAACCCACACCTCCAACTCTCCTCCCTCCCTTGCAAACCTTGTTTTCCTTTGCCGCTTCCAGCTGCTTCCTCAGCTCCTCCCCGCCCGCCGTCCGCTCCTTGTCCAACTTCCCCTTCTCCGCCGCCCTCTTTCCTGCCCCACCCCACTCACCTCGTTTTCTTTTGCCGCCTCCAGCTGCTTCTTCAGCTCCTCCCCTCCTGCCGTCCGCTCCTTCTCCAGCTTCCCCTTCTCCGCCGCCACCCCCCCCCTTTCCTTCCTGCACTCTCCTCAACCCACTCACCTCGTTTTCCTTCGCAGCCTCTAGCTGCTTCTTCAGCTCCTCCCCTCCTGCCGTCCGATCCTTCTCCAGCTTCTCCTTCTCCTCCGCCAGTGCCGCCCGCTGCGCCTCCAGCTTTGCCAGCTCAGCAGCCGCCCGCTTCTTCTCGGTCTCCTTGTCCTTTTCTGCTGCTTCTGCTGCCGCCTTTGCTGCTGCCAGGGCACCTCTCGCCTCTGAGAGCTCCTGCTCCAGCTGTTCCGCTTGCTTCTGCTCAGGAAGAATCGAGAAGGAAAAACAGCCAGTCAGGTTTTGAGGAACCTCAGAACAAAAGTGCCTTATGCTGCTGCATTTGCTGGTGTCCGAGAACCCCTTGCCTCTGAGAGCTCCTGCTCCAGCTGCTCTGTTTCCTTCTGCTCAGCAAGAATCAACAAGGAAAAACAGCCAGTCAGTTTTTGAGGTGCCTCAAGATTCGCTTCCGCCGCGGCCTTTGCTGCTATTAGGGTACCCATCTCCTCTGAAATCCTCCTGCTCCAGATGCTCCGATTGCTTCTGCTAGAAAAAAAAAACGAGGAGGAAGAACATCCTTTTAGCTATTAAGACGCCTCAAGAGCTGCCTTTGCTGCCTTTGCTGCTGCCAGGCCACTTCTAGATTGGGAGGGGCTGCAGAAAAAGGAGGAGAGAAACAGCTTTCACCTCCCCTGACCCACTCACCCCCTCACCTCTTTGACCTGCAGCTGGTCTTGCAGCCGCTGCTACTCCTCCACATCGATCGCACTGTACTTCTCCAACAGCTGCTGCACTCTGCCAGCTCATAGCTATGAACCCTAGCCCCATAATCCTAGCCCCTGAACCCTAGCCCCAGAACCCTCCCTTTCTCACCTCTTTGAAGCTGGTCCTGCAGCCGTTGAGACTCCTCCACATCAATCGCCTTGTACTTCTCCAACAGCCCAAAACACTAGCCCCCCAAAAAGCCCTGCCTGTGATACCCACCTCCTTAACCTGCAGCTGGTCCTGCAGCCTCTGATACTCCTCCACGTCAATTGCCTTGTACTTCTCCAACAGCCCAAAACACCAGCCCCCAAAAAGCCCTGCCTGTGATACCCACCTCCTTAACCTGCAGCTGGTCCTGCAGCCTCTGATACTCCTCCACGTCAATTGCCTTGTACTTCTCCAACAGCCCAAAACACTAGCCCCCAAAAAGCCCTGCCTGTGATACCCACCTCCTTAACCTGCAGCTGGTCCTGCAGCCTCTGATACTCCTCCACGTCAATTGCCTTGTACTTCTCCAACAGCCCAAAACACTAGCCCCCCAAAAAGCCCTGCCTGTGATACCCACCTCCTTAACCTGCAGCTGGTCCTGCAGCCTCTGATACTCCTCCACGTCAATTGCCTTGTACTTCTCCAACAGCCCAAAACACTAGCCCCCAAAAAGCCCTGCCTGTGATACCCACCTCCTTAACCTGCAGCTGGTCCTGCAGCCTCTGATACTCCTCCACGTCAATTGCCTTGTACTTCTCCAACAGCCCAAAACACTAGCCCCCAAAAAGCCCTGCCTGTGATACCCACCTCCTTAACCTGCAGCTGGTCCTGCAGCCTCTGATACTCCTCCACGTCAATTGCCTTGTACTTCTCCAACAGCCCAAAACACTAGCCCCCAAAAAGCCCTGCCTGTGATACCCACCTCCTTAACCTGCAGCTGGTCCTGCAGCCTCTGATACTCCTCCACGTCAATTGCCTTGTACTTCTCCAACAGCCCAAAACACTAGCCCCCAAAAAGCCCTGCCTGTGATACCCACCTCCTTAACCTGCAGCTGGTCCTGCAGCCTCTGATACTCCTCCACGTCAATTGCCTTGTACTTCTCCAACAGCCCAAAACACTAGCCCCCAAAAAGCCCTGCCTGTGATACCCACCTCCTTAACCTGCAGCTGGTCCTGCAGCCTCTGATACTCCTCCACGTCAATTGCCTTGTACTTCTCCAACAGCCCAAAACACTAGCCCCCCAAAAAGCCCTGCCTGTGATACCCACCTCCTTAACCTGCAGCTGGTCCTGCAGCCTCTGATACTCCTCCACGTCAATTGCCTTGTACTTCTCCAACAGCCCAAAACACTAGCCCCCAAAAAGCCCTGCCTGTGATACCCACCTCCTTAACCTGCAGCTGGTCCTGCAGCCTCTGATACTCCTCCACGTCAATTGCCTTGTACTTCTCCAACAGCCCAAAACACTAGCCCCCAAAAAGCCCTGCCTGTGATACCCACCTCCTTAACCTGCAGCTGGTCCTGCAGCCTCTGATACTCCTCCACGTCAATTGCCTTGTACTTCTCCAACAGCCCAAAACACTAGCCCCCAAAAAGCCCTGCCTGTGATACCCACCTCCTTAACCTGCAGCTGGTCCTGCAGCCTCTGATACTCCTCCACGTCAATTGCCTTGTACTTCTCCAACAGCCCAAAACACTAGCCCCCAAAAAGCCCTGCCTGTGATACCAACCTCCTTAACCTGCAGCTGGTCCTGCAGCCTCTGATACTCCTCCACGTCAATTGCCTTGTACTTCTCCAACAGCCCAAAACACTAGCCCCCAAAAAGCCCTGCCTGTGATACCCACCTCCTTAACCTGCAGCTGGTCCTGCAGCCTCTGATACTCCTCCACGTCAATTGCCTTGTACTTCTCCAACAGCCCAAAACACTAGCCCCCAAAAAGCCCTGCCTGTGATACCAACCTCCTTAACCTGCAGCTGGTCCTGCAGCCTCTGATACTCCTCCACGTCAATTGCCTTGTACTTCTCCAACAGCCCAAAACACTAGCCCCCAAAAAGCCCTGCCTGTGATACCCACCTCCTTAACCTGCAGCTGGTCCTGCAGCCTCTGATACTCCTCCACGTCGATTGCCTTGTACTTCTCCAACAGCCCAAAACACTAGCCCCCCAAAAAGCCCTGCCTGTGATACCCACCTCCTTAACCTGCAGCTGGTCCTGCAGCCTCTGATACTCCTCCACGTCAATTGCCTTGTACTTCTCCAACAGCCCAAAACACTAGCCCCCAAAAAGCCCTGCCTGTGATACCCACCTCCTTAACCTGCAGCTGGTCCTGCAGCCTCTGATACTCCTCCACGTCAATTGCCTTGTACTTCTCCAACAGCCCAAAACACTAGCCCCCCAAAAAGCCCTGCCTGTGATACCCACCTCCTTAACCTGCAGCTGGTCCTGCAGCCTCTGATACTCCTCCACGTCAATTGCCTTGTACTTCTCCAACAGCCCAAAACACTAGCCCCCAAAAAGCCCTGCCTGTGATACCCACCTCCTTAACCTGCAGCTGGTCCTGCAGCCTCTGATACTCCTCCACGTCAATTGCCTTGTACTTCTCCAACAGCCCAAAACACTAGCCCCCAAAAAGCCCTGCCTGTGATACCCACCTCCTTAACCTGCAGCTGGTCCTGCAGCCTCTGATACTCCTCCACGTCAATTGCCTTGTACTTCTCCAACAGCCCAAAACACTAGCCCCCCAAAAAGCCCTGCCTGTGATACCCACCTCCTTAACCTGCAGCTGGTCCTGCAGCCTCTGATACTCCTCCACGTCAATTGCCTTGTACTTCTCCAGCAGCTGCTGCACGCGCCGCTGCCACCGCCCCACCTCCTCCCTTGCACTCTCCACCTCCCTCTTCCCCGCAGCCACCTCCGCCTCCCTCCTCTGCACCGCCGCCTGCAGCGGCCCCACCTGCTGCTGCGCCTGCCGCGCCTTCTCCCTCCACTCCCCAGCATCCGCAAAGTTCCGCTGGCTCTCATCCCTCAGCATCGCATTGCTCTCTCTCAGCAGATTCACCTGAGCCACTTGGGCTTTCAACGCCGCAAACTCCCCCTCAGATTGCGCCGTCGCAGCCCCCCGCGCCCGCACTTCTCTCAGCTGCTGCTGTGCCTCCTGCGCCTCTCTCTCTGCTGCTTCTATCTGTTTTGTCAGCCGCAGCCGCTCCTGCTTCAGCAGAGCCAACTCCATCTCGGAAGCTTCCTTGGAGCGCCGCAGGAACCGCACCACCTCCTGCAGCTCTGCCAGCCCTCCGTCTTCCCCCACCCCTCCTTCCCCTTCTCCTTCCCCTTCCCCTTCCGCTGCTGCTGCTGCTACTGCCGCTGTCTCCCCTCCAGCTGCTCCTGTCCCTCCCACTGCCCTACCCGCCTTACCCGGCGACGGGGAAGCAACCGATCTCCTCCTCCCCACACCAGGCGAAGCAACCCCGCCAGCCTTGCCCGGCGTCCCCACACGCAGCGCCTCGAGCCGATCCAGCAGAATCACGTTCTGAGCCTCTACCTCCTTTGCTTTACCCTCTGCAGCAGCGCGTGCGGCCTCCAGGCCCCCCTTGACTGTCTCCCACTCGGCTCGCAGGGAGGTGAGCTCTGCTTCGGCCTTCTCTGCCTTGCTGCGCCACTCCCGCTGCGCCGCCTGGGCGGCGTTGAGTGTCTGACTCACGCCGTCCAGCTGGCGGATTGTGTCTGCTTGCAGCACCACCTGGTGGGGTGGGGTGGTGGGGGGGGAGAAGGGGGGGAGGACAGATGGGCGGGAAGAGGGGCAAAGAGGAGCGGGGAGGGGGATGTGGGAGGGTTGAGGTACCTCCTTGGCTTTACCCTCAGCAGCAGCCCGTGCAGCCTCCAGGCCCCCCTTGACTGTCTCCCACTCGGCTCGCAGGGAGGTGAGCTCCGCTTCGGCCTTCTCTGCCTTGCTGCGCCACTCCCGCTGCGCCGCCTGGGCGGCGTTGAGTGTCTGACTCACGCCGTCCAGCTGGCGGATTGTGTCCGCTTGCAGCACCACCTGGGTGAGGGGGGGTTGACAGAGATGGACGGGGAGGGGGGCAGAGAGGAGCGGCAGAGGGAGAGAGCAGGGGAGGGGGAGGTGGGGAAGGGTCGAGGAGCCTTGGAAAGCAGAAGGCGGATGGTGCCTGGGAGCAGGAAGGCGGAGACGAGTGAACAGGTGAAGGGAGGGGAGGGGGAAGTAAAAAGCGAGTTCAAGAAAAACATAAACAAAAAGCGAAAGTAGACGAAGAGGAAACGAGAAGGTATGGGAGATGAGAACGGTCTGAAATTCTGCACCAGCGCCTGTGTGCAGTACGCACCTGTCGCTCGTAGTTGGTCTGAGCCTCCCTCCACTTCTGCCGCATCTCTGATGCCTCCTTCGCCTCTGACTCCACCCGCCACTCTATCTCCTCCACTCGTGACCTACACACACAGGCCCACGGACAGCAACAAGCACACAGTGCACAGGGCTAAGCTGTTTTTATGAAATCTTCAAACACCCCACCACATCCCACTCCAACCCACCGCACCTCACCCGACCCCATCCCACCGCACTCCACCCACCTGAATGCGTCTCTCTCCACAGCAGCCGCCTCCAGCTTCCGGCTGACATCAGCAAACGCCCTCTCATGCTCCTCCGTCAGCCCCGTGGCCGCTGCCGCCGCATCTGCCGCCCGTTTCTCTGCCTCCTTCACCCGTCCCCTCAGCTCCTCCGCGACTGCCGCCGCAGCGGCTCTCTCCTTCTCAGCCTCCTCCTTGAACGAGCTGTGCTGCTGCATCATCCGCTCTAGTGCCTCCTCATTGGCCTTTCCTATTGCCTTGTACTGGTCATGGGTAGGGGATGGAAGGGAGAAGGAGTTGGGAGTGAGACACAGTTTTGAGGCACCTAAGGCATGGTCTAAACACACAAACGGCACAGCCCTTCTCTGCCTCCTTCACCCTCCCCCTCAGCTCCTCTGCTGCTGCCGCCGCTGCAGCCCGCTCCTTCTCAGCCTCCTCTTTGAACGCGCTGTGCTGCTGCATCATGCGCTCTAGTGCCTCCTCGTTGGCCTTCCCTATTGCCTTGTACTGGTAGCGGGTGGAGCAACGTGGTGGATAAAAGTAAAAAATGGAGTGCGATGTGGGAGGCAGAGGGGGTGGGCGGGAATAACAACACGCACACAATTGCTAACGCGACAAAGACAAGACAGTGGGAAATGGACATGTAACACTAAACCCTGACAATATCCCAACAAGACACCAAATGCGAGCTGTGAATTCTCACCTGAGCAAGGTACCCCTGGGAGGCCTCGAGCTCCTCCTTTAGCCTCTGCACCTCCTCCTCTGCCTTGTGTAGGCGCTCCTCCACCTCCTCCTCCTCCATACTCTCGCCCTCCTTACCACCAGCCGCATCACCAGCAGCACCACCACCTGCCGCAGCTGCCCCAGCTCCCCCAGTTGCCCCAGCACCAGTACCAGCACCACCACCACCGGCAGCAGCACTAGCAGCAGCCGCCACAGCAGCCGCCGCCGCATCTCTCACCGAAGCAGACCTCAAGCTCCTCCCTCCCACACCCCCGCCCGCACCACCAGCGACAGCAGCCGCCGCCACCGCCTCCAACCGCTTCACACCCGCCTGCAGTTCCTCACACCGTGCCTCAGCAGTCTTGGCCTTGGTGACAGCAGCGCTGAGCTGCTGCTTGAGCTGCTCCACGTCCTTCCACGCGGCACTCAGCTTTGCCTCTGCATCCGCTGCTGCCCTGTCCCTGGCTTCCACCAGGTGCCGCGAGTGGTCCCTCTCTGCTTCCAATGCCCGACTGGCCTCTGCCCACTCGCGCTGCAGGGAGGGGAAGAGCACCGGGATTAGCATGGGGTGGAGGCAGAAGATCAGAGATGAGATAGAGAGAGAGTTTGGCCTGACTTAAGGCCTCCACCAGGGGGTGACAGCAGCGCTGAGCTGCTGCTTGAGCTGCATCCGCTGCTGCCCTGTCCCTGGCTTCCACCAGGTGCCGCGAGTGGTCCCTCTCTGCCTCAAGTGCCCGACTCGCTTCCGCCCACTCGCGCTGAGACAGGGAGGGAGGAGCACAGGGATTGGCATGGGTAGAGGCAGGAGATGGGAGATGGGAGATGGTAGATGAGAGAATGAGGGAGGGTGCCCTGTCCCGGGCCTCCACCAGCGGGTGACAGCAGCGCTGAGCTGCTGCTTGAGCTGCTTGCACTCAGCTTTGCCTCTGCGTCTGCTGCTGCCCTGTCTCGGGCTTCCACCAGGTGGCGAGAGTGGTCCCTCTCTGCCTCCAGAGGGCGACTAGCCTCCGCCCACTCGCGCTGCAACAGGTGATTGAGGGAGGGAGAAAGGGAGGGAGGTTAACGCACTCCCTGCCTCTGCTGTCGCCCTCTCCTCTGCTGTCATCCTCCCCTCTGCTGTCGTCCTCACCTCTGCTGTCACCCCAGTTAACCAAATCAACCCAGCAACACCCACCCAGACAACCAAGTCAACATCCACCTGCGTGCGGCCAAGTCAGACGAGTCAACGCCCACCTGCATGGCGTCAAGTCAACCAAGTCAACCGAGTCAACCGAGCCCACCTGCATGCGGTCAATGGAACCCTCAAGCCGCTTCCTCTCAGCGGCCCACGTGGCCTCGCGGGCAGCCTGGGTGCTCTCCAGTGAGTCATGAGCCGCCTGCACTCGGTGCATCCTCTCCAGCGCACTCCCCGCCTCCGCTGTCGCCCTCTCCTCTGCTGCCGCAAGCAGCGCCTTCTCCCGCTCCAACACCGATGCCTGTGAAGAAAAGGGCACAGAGATGCGTACATGGTATAAGAAAGACGGAACAGCTCTCCAGCGCACTCCCCGCCTCCGCTGTCGCCCTCTCCTCTGCTGCCGCAAGCAGCACCTTCTCCCGCTCCAACACCGATGCCTGTGAAGAAAAGGGCACAGAGATGCGTACATGATATAAGAAAGACGGAACAGCTCTCCAGCGCAATCCCCGCCTCCGCTGTCCCCCGCTCCTCTGCTGCTGCCAGGAGTGCCTTCTCCCGCTCCAACACTGATGCCTGCGGGAGGCAAAGAGATTCGTATAGATTAGACTGAACAAGCACCTGCCCTCCTCCACTACCACTGCATCTGGCCTCTTCTGCAACCAGTAGGCTCTTCTGTCAATACACCAGATGAATTTTGCAAGGACTCAGAAATCACATGCCTGTGGAAAGGAGACCACAGAGGACCCACCCACCCCCACCCCCCCCCCACAATCAGATTAAGCACAGAGCAGCGCAAACTCAGACCCAGCAGCAGCGAGGAGCCTCTCAGCGTCCCTCAGCTCTTGAGATAAAACACCTTAAAGCATAGCAACTCTCTCACCTCAAGCATAGATACTCTCTCACCTCAATAGTTGCACGGGTGGCCTTCTCCTCAGCCGCAGCGAGCAGCCTCTCGGCGTCCCGCAGCTGCCTCTGGTGGGCCGTCACCGACGCCGCAAACTCACTGCTGCGCGCCACTGCTGCATCCTTCACCTTGCGCTGAGCAGGAAAGGGCGGAAGAGGGAGGTGGAGTGGGAAGGATGAGGTCGAAAGAAGGAAGTGGGATGAGATAAGGATGCACTCAACCGCCACTGCTGCGTTGTTAGCTAGAGGTGAGCAAGGGTGGGGGGGGGGAGAGGTGGGGGGTGATGCAAGGAGAGGAAGGGGGAGGAAGCAAGGTGAGGAAAGCAGTCAGTAGAAAGTGGTGCATCATTTCGCTTGATTAGTGCAGAGGCAGCACAACCACAACGGGGCATCACAAACAACCCATGCTCATTCCAATCACAGACCAGCATCACGATTGCAGCCCTCCCATCGCAATGTCATCACACCACACTGCACCACACCAAACCACATCTCACCTCCTCTTCCAGTGTCTTCTCGAGTGCCTCTGCCTGCTGCTTGGTGAACTGCGCCTCTGCCTCCGCTCGCATGCGCTCCATTCGTGACTCACTCGCCACCTTCCTGTGATTGTGCATACACGCATCCATGCATGCATGATGCACCCACACACCCATGCACCCGTGCGTAATGCATGCACCCGTGCGTAATGCATGCACCCGTGCGTAATGCATGCACCCAACCCAAGTGTGCGCCAAAGCATGCATACATGCAGCCAGGCAGTGAGTCAGCCATGAGTGCATGCACCCATGCACACAAACATGCGACATGCATCCACATCACACCGGCGCAAAGGGTATCAGAAAGTCTTGTCATAAGCAGCTAATAGCATAGTAGACAGGTAATGGCTGTGTCTTACTTTGGTAACGCCACAGCTAGTGCCAGTCGGGTACGCACAGCACACACACCTAGTGGGAACACTACCATGACACGCAGCTCCTAAACCTCCTGGCAGAAATCGGTGCAGACCCCACCTGGCAGCATCCAGCGCCTCCTGGAGCTCCTCCATGTGGTGTGGGTGGTAAGGTGCGGTGGTGAAGTGGTGTGGTGGTGTGGTGGTGCGGTGGTGTGGCATGGTGGCATAGTGGCATGGCAGGCAGTGGTGTGATGGTGTGGCGGAATGCAAGCAAGCCTCACCTGGCAGCATCAAGTGCTTCCTGCAGTTCGTCCATGTGCTGCTTGCAGTGTGGCAGCGTGATGGTGTGATGGCATGGTGGAATGGCAGCGTGATGGTGTGATGGCATGGTGGAATGGCAGCGTGATGGTGTGATGGCATGGTGGAATGGCAGCGTGATGGTGTGATGGCATGGTGGAATGGCAGCGTGATGGTGTGATGGCATGGTGGAATGGCAGCGTGATGGTGTGATGGCATGGTGGAATGGCAGCGTGATGGTGTGATGGCATGGTGGAATGGCAGCGTGATGGTGTGATGGCATGGTGGAATGGCAGCGTGATGGTGTGATGGCATGGTGGAATGGCAGCGTGATGGTGTGATGGCATGGTGGAATGGCAGCGTGATGGTGTGATGGCATGGTGGAATGGCAGCGTGATGGTGTGATGGCATGGTGGAATGGCAGCGTGATGGTGTGATGGCATGGTGGAATGGCAGCGTGATGGTGTGATGGCATGGTGGAATGGCAGCGTGATGGTGTGATGGCATGGTGGAATGGCAGCGTGATGGTGTGATGGCATGGTGGAATGGCAGCGTGATGGTGTGATGGCATGGTGGAATGGCAGCGTGATGGTGTGATGGCATGGTGGAATGGCAGCGTGATGGTGTGATGGCATGGTGGAATGGCAGCGTGATGGTGTGATGGCATGGTGGAATGGCAGCGTGATGGTGTGATGGCATGGTGGAATGGCAGCGTGATGGTGTGATGGCATGGTGGAATGGCAGCGTGATGGTGTGATGGCATGGTGGAATGGCAGCGTGATGGTGTGATGGCATGGTGGAATGGCAGCGTGATGGTGTGATGGCATGGTGGAATGGCAGCGTGATGGTGTGATGGCATGGTGGAATGGCAGCGTGATGGTGTGATGGCATGGTGGAATGGCAGCGTGATGGTGTGATGGCATGGTGGAATGGCAGCGTGATGGTGTGATGGCATGGTGGAATGGCAGCGTGATGGTGTGATGGCATGGTGGAATGGCAGCGTGATGGTGTGATGGCATGGTGGAATGGCAGCGTGATGGTGTGATGGCATGGTGGAATGGCAGCGTGATGGTGTGATGGCATGGTGGAATGGCAGCGTGATGGTGTGATGGCATGGTGGAATGGCAGCGTGATGGTGTGATGGCATGGTGGAATGGCAGCGTGATGGTGTGATGGCATGGTGGAATGGCAGCGTGATGGTGTGATGGCATGGTGGAATGGCAGCGTGATGGTGTGATGGCATGGTGGAATGGCAGCGTGATGGTGTGATGGCATGGTGGAATGGCAGCGTGATGGTGTGATGGCATGGTGGAATGGCAGCGTGATGGTGTGATGGCATGGTGGAATGGCAGCGTGATGGTGTGATGGCATGGTGGAATGGCAGCGTGATGGTGTGATGGCATGGTGGAATGGCAGCGTGATGGTGTGATGGCATGGTGGAATGGCAGCGTGATGGTGTGATGGCATGGTGGAATGGCAGCGTGATGGTGTGATGGCATGGTGGAATGGCAGCGTGATGGTGTGATGGCATGGTGGAATGGCAGCGTGATGGTGTGATGGCATGGTGGAATGGCAGCGTGATGGTGTGATGGCATGGTGGAATGGCAGCGTGATGGTGTGATGGCATGGTGGAATGGCAGCGTGATGGTGTGATGGCATGGTGGAATGGCAGCGTGATGGTGTGATGGCATGGTGGAATGGCAGCGTGATGGTGTGATGGCATGGTGGAATGGCAGCGTGATGGTGTGATGGCATGGTGGAATGGCAGCGTGATGGTGTGATGGCATGGTGGAATGGCAGCGTGATGGTGTGATGGCATGGTGGAATGGCAGCGTGATGGTGTGATGGCATGGTGGAATGGCAGCGTGATGGTGTGATGGCATGGTGGAATGGCAGCGTGATGGTGTGATGGCATGGTGGAATGGCAGCGTGATGGTGTGATGGCATGGTGGAATGGCAGCGTGATGGTGTGATGGCATGGTGGAATGGCAGCGTGATGGTGTGATGGCATGGTGGAATGGCAGCGTGATGGTGTGATGGCATGGTGGAATGGCAGCGTGATGGTGTGATGGCATGGTGGAATGGCAGCGTGATGGTGTGATGGCATGGTGGAATGGCAGCGTGATGGTGTGATGGCATGGTGGAATGGCAGCGTGATGGTGTGATGGCATGGTGGAATGGCAGCGTGATGGTGTGATGGCATGGTGGAATGGCAGCGTGATGGTGTGATGGCATGGTGGAATGGCAGCGTGATGGTGTGATGGCATGGTGGAATGGCAGCGTGATGGTGTGATGGCATGGTGGAATGGCAGCGTGATGGTGTGATGGCATGGTGGAATGGCAGCGTGATGGTGTGATGGCATGGTGGAATGGCAGCGTGATGGTGTGATGGCATGGTGGAATGGCAGCGTGATGGTGTGATGGCATGGTGGAATGGCAGCGTGATGGTGTGATGGCATGGTGGAATGGCAGCGTGATGGTGTGATGGCATGGTGGAATGGCAGCGTGATGGTGTGATGGCATGGTGGAATGGCAGCGTGATGGTGTGATGGCATGGTGGAATGGCAGCGTGATGGTGTGATGGCATGGTGGAATGGCAGCGTGATGGTGTGATGGCATGGTGGAATGGCAGCGTGATGGTGTGATGGCATGGTGGAATGGCAGCGTGATGGTGTGATGGCATGGTGGAATGGCAGCGTGATGGTGTGATGGCATGGTGGAATGGCAGCGTGATGGTGTGATGGCATGGTGGAATGGCAGCGTGATGGTGTGATGGCATGGTGGAATGGCAGCGTGATGGTGTGATGGCATGGTGGAATGGCAGCGTGATGGTGTGATGGCATGGTGGAATGGCAGCGTGATGGTGTGATGGCATGGTGGAATGGCAGCGTGATGGTGTGATGGCATGGTGGAATGGCAGCGTGATGGTGTGATGGCATGGTGGAATGGCAGCGTGATGGTGTGATGGCATGGTGGAATGGCAGCGTGATGGTGTGATGGCATGGTGGAATGGCAGCGTGATGGTGTGATGGCATGGTGGAATGGCAGCGTGATGGTGTGATGGCATGGTGGAATGGCAGCGTGATGGTGTGATGGCATGGTGGAATGGCAGCGTGATGGTGTGATGGCATGGTGGAATGGCAGCGTGATGGTGTGATGGCATGGTGGAATGGCAGCGTGATGGTGTGATGGCATGGTGGAATGGCAGCGTGATGGTGTGATGGCATGGTGGAATGGCAGCGTGATGGTGTGATGGCATGGTGGAATGGCAGCGTGATGGTGTGATGGCATGGTGGAATGGCAGCGTGATGGTGTGATGGCATGGTGGAATGGCAGCGTGATGGTGTGATGGCATGGTGGAATGGCAGCGTGATGGTGTGATGGCATGGTGGAATGGCAGCGTGATGGTGTGATGGCATGGTGGAATGGCAGCGTGATGGTGTGATGGCATGGTGGAATGGCAGCGTGATGGTGTGATGGCATGGTGGAATGGCAGCGTGATGGTGTGATGGCATGGTGGAATGGCAGCGTGATGGTGTGATGGCATGGTGGAATGGCAGCGTGATGGTGTGATGGCATGGTGGAATGGCAGCGTGATGGTGTGATGGCATGGTGGAATGGCAGCGTGATGGTGTGATGGCATGGTGGAATGGCAGCGTGATGGTGTGATGGCATGGTGGAATGGCAGCGTGATGGTGTGATGGCATGGTGGAATGGCAGCGTGATGGTGTGATGGCATGGTGGAATGGCAGCGTGATGGTGTGATGGCATGGTGGAATGGCAGCGTGATGGTGTGATGGCATGGTGGAATGGCAGCGTGATGGTGTGATGGCATGGTGGAATGGCAGCGTGATGGTGTGATGGCATGGTGGAATGGCAGCGTGATGGTGTGATGGCATGGTGGAATGGCAGCGTGATGGTGTGATGGCATGGTGGAATGGCAGCGTGATGGTGTGATGGCATGGTGGAATGGCAGCGTGATGGTGTGATGGCATGGTGGAATGGCAGCGTGATGGTGTGATGGCATGGTGGAATGGCAGCGTGATGGTGTGATGGCATGGTGGAGTGGAATGGCAGCGTGATGGTGTGATGGCATGGTGGAATGGCAGCGTGATGGTGTGATGGCATGGTGGAATGGCAGCGTGATGGTGTGATGGCATGGTGGAATGGAGTGGCGGCGTTGTGATGTAATGGAATGGAGCACATGGGTGGGTGGATGCAAGCCCCACCTGGCGGCATCAAGAGCCTCCTGCAATTCGTCCATGTGCTGCTTGCGATCCTGCCTCAGCCTCTCCAGCTCCTCCTGCTCCCATGCACGCCCAACCGGATGGTGGACCAGTGGGACGGTGGCATAGTGACATGGTGACATGGTGACATGGTGACATGGTGACATGGTGACATGGTGACATGGTGACATGGTGACATGGTGACATGGTGACATGGTGAGATGGTGGAGTCCAAGACATCAAGACACACATGGAGAATCAACAACCGCGATCTCTGGAAAAAGCATAGTGCAACAAGCTAATGCAGAGAGCGAGCGAGTGAAATGAACATATGTGGGTGAGAAGAGAAACCATGCGAAAAAAAATAACCTTCACAACAAGAACTTTGCAGCAGCAAACTGAATTAGGGCCTTGAGAGATGGGGGGTTGAGGGGGGGGGGAGAGAGGGGGAGGCGGGGGGAGGGTGGGGCGACAAGCAGAGACAGACACAAAGACAAGGAGGAAGGGCAGTGAGCGGACGGGATGTAAGGGGTGGGACAGCCTGCGTTGCTGTTTAGACGGGTTAAAAAAAACCTGAAAAAAGGCATACGAAACAAACAGGGGGAGTAGGGTACCTGAGTTGCTGTGTAGAGAGTCTTGTAGTCAGGACCTGCCGTCGAGGAGGATGAGCACGAGGGGAGAAGAGGGAAGGCAGGGGCAGAACACAAGGCAGAGGTCGTTGCGGTGAAGCACACATGAAGGATGAGACACCTTCAACTCGATGCAGCATAGAGCACAAATAAAGAGAATTGAAACTCTTTACCAAAATCCACTCGGACATACAGCAGCAGACGGACACACCAGGTAATGATGATCCTCCATGGTATGGTAACTGCCTATAAGCATCACCTTAGGACCACCTGATGGTTCAGTGGCATGCCATACCACGTGGTAATGGGACTGGCTGACATCAACCGACTCACCATCAGGTGGAGGGGAGGACAGCATGGGCACAGCACGCGTTCCCTTGGCTGCAGGAGAATCAGTGGGATGAGGGGAGGCAGCGGCAGTGCCTGATGCCATGGCACGCATGCGCTGCTGCTGCTCATCGTACAGCATCTTGAACATGTCGTGCTGGTGCGGTGAGGGGGAAGAGAGGGGCCGGAGGGATTAGAGGATCAGAGCACCATGGGAATGAAACGGTGAACTGGAGTTGATGCTTCATGCCATGGCGCGCATGTGCTGCTGCTGCACATCGTACAGCATCTTGACCAGGTCATGCTGGTAAGTTGGAGGGTAAGGTGGGGAGTAGGGGGAGGAACAGGTCAACAAGGCAAGGCAGGGGAGAGGGTGAACGAGAGGCAACAGGGCAGCCGCCAGGGCCACATAGCCAGCAAGGGAGTAGGCAACAGGGCCACGGGCGGGCGGGACAAGAAGCAGAAGATGACCATTCCTTTCAGCAACTGAGGGAAGGAGCACTCACGGCAGCCTTGTGCCTCTGTGCCAGCTCCTCCTGCTCCTTATACATGCCCACCACCCGCTCCAGCTTCATAACGTTCTTTTCAGGTGCCTCAAAAGCAGTACGAGGAACAACAAGAGGGCACAGGATGGTGCACTCACGGCAGCCTTGTGCCTCTGTGCCAGCTCCTCCTGCTCCTTATACATACCCAACACCTGCTCCACCTCCTTGGCGCTCTATTGTGGCACCTCAAAGGCTTGAGACGAACAAGAAGGCAAGAGAAGAGACGGAGCACTCACAGCAGCCTTGTGCCTCTGCGCCAGCTCCTCCTGCTCCTTGAACATGCCCACCACCCGCTCCACCTCCTTGGCATTCGCTGAATTGACTTTGAGAAACTCATGCATTTACTGAAGGAGGAGAAGCACTCACAGCAGCCTTGTGCCTCTGCGCCAGCTCCTCCTGCTCCTCGAACATGCCCACCACCCGCTCCACTTCCTTGGAGTTCCTTTGAGGTGCCTCAAAAGGCCTAAGAGGAACAACAAGAGGGCAAGGGACGGAGCACTCACGGCAGCCTTGTGCCTCTGTGCCAGCTCCTCCTGCTCCTTGTACATGCCCACCACCCGCTCCACCTCCTTGGCGTTCGCTGCTGCCCGCCTCTCCAACTCCTCCTCAAACCGAGCCTGCTCACAGCACAAGCACAAAGTAAATGAATTTGGGGGTCACAGATGGCAAGGGGCATGTGAACTAGAGTTTAGGGATATGCTGATGAAGGCAGAACCAGCTGGAAAAGATTGAGACTTTGTATTATCCCGGCCGTAACACAGTAAACACAAGGCAACATCCCTCTTCCCAGAAAAAGCCACAGTCGTTCTGTTACGCCACATGAAGACGTACCTTGATGCGCGGCTCCAGGGTGCTGTAGTTGTCCTGCTGCTTCCTCAGGGAGTGGCGGAGCGACATGTTTGCCTGAGGTGACTTCAACGTCAGCTCACCAATCAACTGACATGACAACTGACACACACCGTACCTTAATCCGCGGCTCCAGAGAGCTGTAGTCGTCCTGCAGCTTCCGCAGAGCATGGCGGAGAGATGTGTTGGCTTGCACGAGGCCCCCAATGTCTGTGATCGTCAGCTGCAGAGACGAACAGAGGGAGCAGGGCAGGGGAGTTGGAGAGCATTCAGGACCGTCGCAACAGGGCAACTGCGATGTTGTAAGGCGTTGCAGAGAGCTGTGTTTGCCTGCACCACGGCCAGGACAGTCAGCTGCTTCTGTGATGGTCAGTCAGCTGCTTCTGTGATGGTCAGTCAGCTGCTGAAGCGCATCGAGAGGGAGCAGGGGAGCTTGAGAGAGCACATGTACGAGTGTAACAGGGGCACCTGCTCCAGCCGCCCTCCCTCCCCCTCACCCCTCCCCTTGCCCCCTCCTTGCTTACCTGCACCACTGACACAAAGTCCGACGAGGAGGGTCGCAGCAGGGTGGGCGCAGCAGCTTCGTTATTAGCATGCTGCATGCTCACATCCCTCGGCTCCTTGACTACCTGCTACAGCCCCTCCCTCCTTGCTTACCTGCTCCACTGACACAAAGTCCGACGAGGAGGGCCGCGGGGGGGTGGGCGGAGCAGTGGCTTCGTTGTTGGCATGCTGCCTGCTCACATCCCTCAGCTCCTTAAGGAGGACCGTAACCTGACAGGGAGGAAACACGGGCAAGAGAGCGGGTTTTGAGTCGGCTAAAAAAGCAGCGGCATTGTTATTGGGATGCTGCACGCTGCATGCTCACATCCCTCAGCTCCTTAAGGAGGGCCGTAACCTGACTGATAGGCGTGGACGCCACAAAAGAAAAGAGTGAGTACAAGAGAGAGAAAAAAGTGGGAGAGAGAACGAAAGAAAAGAAAAGAAAAGAAATCACCGTAGTGAACAAGCAAAAACGATGCATTCAACCCAAACATTCATGTAGCAAAAGATGGAAGTAGACATGAGCACAAGGGCGAACACCTGTTCGGTTCGCCTCGTTTTGCTTAAATTGTTCGCCGAACACTGTTCGAGGTTCGCCCGAACACGTTCGTGTTCGGGCTGCTGCTGCAATTTGCCCCGCGACGAACACGAACGTGTTCGAGGTTCGCCCGAACACGCCTTCACAGGCGAACGGCGAACACGTGTTTTTGCTTAAAGTGTTCGCCGAACCGAACAGTGTTAGGTTCGGCAAACGGATGTGTTCGTGTAGGGGTGAACACGAACATGTTCGTGTTCGCCCCTTGCTCATCCCTAGATGGAAGATCTCTGCTTCTGCCACACATTCACTGAAAATCCCTTGGCCATCCCACTGCCCACTCACTGCACCTGGCTCTGCAGGTCTGCCACATCGGTGGAAAGCAGGCTCACATCCCTCTCCCTTGCACGCAGCTCCGCCTGATGTATCGACAAATGATGGATAAAAGGGGGGAGACAGACGTTGGGCATGTGTGGTGAGATGTCACAAGGCAAATGGTGTAGGGAAAACAACATTGAAAACCGTGGCTGTAGAGTGGACGTCAGCCCATAGAATGCGATCATCATACACGCTCTGAGGACTGAAACAGACTCACAGCTGTTGACCGTGAAGCGCGCATGCTGCTGCTGCTGCTGCTGCTGCTGCTGCTGCTACACTGAACAGTCACAGAGACCAACTCACCCTGCACTCTGCAAGCGATGCTTTTGACAACAGCCTACTGACTGCCGCCAGACCCAGCTTCTCTAGCCAGACACACGAGCTGCTGTCTGCCTGCTTTTATTGAGAAAAACGACCAACTCACCCTGCACTCGGCAAGGGATGCTTGCACAGCAGCCTGCTGGTCTGCCGCCAGAGCCAGCTTGTCCTGCATGACATCGTACCCTTCCCAATTTCCTTGAACCTTTCCTTTCACCTGACTCAAGTACCATAAGCACTTGCTCATGCTCACCCTGCACTCAGCGAGAGATGCTTCCACAGCAGCCTGCTGGTCCGCTGCCAGTGCCAGCTTGTCCTGCATGACATCGTATGCGCGTGCCATGCGTGCGTGCAGCTCACGCTCTTCCAGCACCACACCCGCCTTCTGCTCTATCTCCCTCAGCACCTGGTGCGTTTTTGGAGGGGATGTGGGATAACGGGAGGAGAGTGCGTGGGAGGGTGGGTTGTCCTGCGTGGCATGATGACATCACACGCGAGGGGGGGTTGCTCCTCACGCTCCTCCAGCACCACGCCCGCCTTCTGCTCTGTCTCCCTCAGCACCTGGTGCGTGTACGTGTGTGTGTGTGTGTGTGCATGGAAGAGAGAGTGGGTCAGAGGGTGGCTTGCAGAATCACCCCATGGTATGCAGAATATAAAAGCCAGCTGGCCGGCCGGCCACAGGTTGCAGACGAGAGACTCAAAGCAATGGGAGGGGGGACAAACAACCATCATCCACTTATCACTCCTGTTCCCAAAGTTTATCTCCCTCTCTCACCCTGTTAAGCAGTGTCTCTGCTTGCCGCCGCTGCTGCCTCTCATGCCGCCACGCATCTGCCGCCTCTTCATACTTCTCGTACATCGTTGCCATCTGCACACGGACGGGCATGGACGGGCATGGACGGGCATGGAAAGAACATGACGCAGAAACGTTTAGAAAGACAGATTGAGTCAGCTTGACAGAATCCCTCCTCGTACTTCTCGTACATCCTTGCCAGCTGCACTGCACACGGACGGACATGCATAGGCGTGCATGCGGGAGAGGTGAGAACACAGGGATAGATAGAGCGACGGCTTGAGACAATGATGGCTCCTCGTACTTCTTGTACATCGTTGCCAGTTGCGCACGGGCGGGCGTGCATGCAACACAGCGACAGATGGAGAGAGAGCTGTCTTAGACAAGCTGACGGCACCGAGAGAGGGCGTGCGTGGGTGCATGGAAGAGCAAGGCAGCGAGGGGTTGGGAGCAGCGAGGAGAAAACACACGCACACAACAACACACAGGTCTCAGAAATGCAGCATCTAGCTTCACGCACCGTCCAGCCGTCCTTGACAAGATAAGAGGCGAGCGCCACGCCTGTGACGCCCTGAGGCAGGGCTGGCAGAACACTGCCGCCCCCATGCAGCACAAGGGTCTCAGGACTGTAGCACAAGGGCTTAAAGACTGTAACATCTAACGTCACCCACCGTCCAGCCGTCCTTGACGAGATAGGTGGCGAGCGCCACTCCTGTGACGCCCTGAGGCAGGGATGGCGGCACACTGCCCCCCCCATGCAGCACCGCCGCCAGCTGCCTGTCCCTGCACTCGTGAGGCAATTGGGGGGGCCGGAGGGGGAAGGGGGAGGGAGGGGGAGAGGTGGGGAAGGACAATGAATGAATGAGCGGTGGAGGCCAGAAGTTGTGAATTAGAGAGAGAAAAAGGAACACACGGGGCGGACCATGCAACATAAGCATCCCCAACAGCAGCATTCCTGGAACCTGAGTGACAGAGCAGCAGAAAAACCCCCCGAACATTCCAGCCCTCTGCTATGGTTGTGTGTGATAAGTCGATTTTTGAGTCGACTCAAAAACCCCCAAACATTCCAGCCCTCTGCTATGGTTGTGTGCGATAAGTCGATTTTTGAGCCGACTCAAAAACTCCCGAACATTCCAGCCCTCTGCTATGGTTGTGTGTGATAAGTCGATTTTTGAGTCGACTCAAAACCCCCCGAACATTCCAGCCCTCTGCTATGGTTGTGTGTGATAAGTCGATCTTTGAATCAACTCAAAAACCCCCGAACATTCCAGCCCTCTGCTATGGCGACTACCTTGTACCCTCTGCCCTCCCTGCCACCGCTAGTCCCATTCCAGCTTCTGCAAATTAAAAAATGGACTCACAAGGGCTGAATGGGACCAGCAGCGGCAGGGAGAGCAGCAGGTGCAAGTTCCAAAAAGCCACCAGCGCCAGCAGCTGTTCTATTGCCAGCAGCTGCCCTACTGCCAGCAGCTGCCAACGTTTTGCCCTTGTGCAACCCAGTGAAAGTACTCACAGTGGCTGAATGGGGCCGGCGGTGGCAGCAGCAGGCACAAGCTCCAAGCCACCAGCACCAGCAGCTGCGGCTGCAGCAGCTGCCTCAGCGGCAGCAGCAGCCTTCTTGTTCGCCTCCTCAAGGCTCTTCTGCAGCTCCTCACACCGCCTCTGCAGCTCCTGCTGCTGCTTCCGTGCTGCCTCTTCTGCTGCCTTGAACCGACTCTCGCCCTCGTCCTCCACTTGCTTCAGATGATCCTGACAGTCACAGGAAGAAGTCAAGGGAGCAGACACAGAAAGAGACGAAGTAGGTGCCCTTTTAGTCTTACTCAAGTATCTCCCTGAAGGACACGGAACAGAGATACAGCTTTAAGCCGACTTGACACGTCAACACAAAAAGGACACGGCCAAGCCGGGATGCATACCCGTGTGCATGAGATAAGAACTTCGTGAATGAGCTAGCATGCAATGCGAATGACTGGCCTCGAGAGACTTGACAACGGCCTTGAGGCCTGCAGCCCTTTCACCCGCCAGCGAGTATTGAGATGACTTTTGACGTGCCTCAAAAATCGTCTCACTACTCGCAGCTTTTGAGGCGCCTAAAAAATGAATGGGTCTGCGACTGACCTCGAGAGATTTGACAACGCCCTTGAGATCTGCTGCCCTTTCACCCGCCTCCGCTGCACTTTCCTTGTACAGCTCCACCAGCTTCTTCGCCTGGCGTGGCGAGGGGGGGGAGAGAGAAGTGTGTGTGTTGAAAGGGGTGGCGGAGTGGGGCCGGGGGGGTTGTTGTGTCTCAAGAGTCGCAGCCCTTTCACCCGCCTCCACTGCACTCTCCTTGTACAGCTCCTCCAGCTTCTTCGCCTGGCGTGTGGTGGGGAGAGAGGGGAGGGTGTGTGTTGGGGAGGGGAAGGGATTGAGTCTCAAAAGTCACAGCCCTTTCACAAGCCTCCGCTGCACTCTCCTTGTACAGCTCCTCCAGCTTCTTCGCCTGGTGTGGCGAGAGGGGGGAAAGGGGTGTATGTGTGTGTGTGTGTGTGTGTGTGTGTGTGTGTGTGTGTGTGTGTGTGTGTGTGTGTGTGTGTGTGTGTGTGTGTGTGTGTGTGTGTGTGATGGGAGAAAGGCTGGAGAAGGGGCGAGGCATGCACACAGCATTGGAAGCAGCACGCTAGAGCGAACTTGTGTGGACGCTGAGAAGAGGCAACACATACACAAACTGCAGGCAGAAGCAAAGAGAGACACTGCTACTAACGAATCGTTTTCAACAGCACCCACTACAACAGCTTTGGCAGCAGCATTCACAAAAGCTTCGACCCCAGCACCAGCTCGAATGCACCACTCACAGTTTCCAATTCAGCCGCCAGCTGGCTTTCGTGAAGCGCCTCCTCCTCGGCGCGCTTCTTCACCTCCTGGAGACAGAAACATCATAAGTGCAGAGGAACCAGATGGTCAAGCCCAGGAAAAAATAGCATGAGTTATGCCAGTGAACAGCGACTATCACTCCAGAACAGCCGCGAATGGATTTCCTCCACAAACGTCAAGGGAATATAAGCAGAGCAAGTAACAGAGCAGCCTCTCTCTCTGGCAGTCAGTTCGGTTGACCCGCCCACCTTTTGCAGCTGAGCGACCATCGCCTGTAGCTCCGCCACGCGCGCCTGGGCTCGGCTCTCAGCAGTCACTTTTGAGAATTCTTGAAGGAATGTTTAAAAGTGACACAAGTTGGCACACCTTCTGCATCTGCTCGACCATCCCCTGCAGCTCTGCCACGTGCGCCTGGGCGCGGCTCTCAGCAGTCATTTTGAACTATTGTAAAAAGAATCCTCTAGAGAATTTACAAGTGACACAGGCTGACCCGCCCACCTTTTGTAGCTGCGCGACCATCCCCTGCAGCTCCGCCACGCGAGCCTGGGCGCGGCTCTCAGCAGCGCGCAGGTCGTCGCGCTCATGCTCCGCGCCCAGCAGCTTGCTGCGCAGCTCCGCCTCGCCCTCCGCGCGCGCGCGCCTCTCCTCCTGCAGCGCGCCAGCCTTCCCCGCCACGTCCTCTCGCAGCCACGCCAGGTGCTGCTCCAGTATCTCCTTTTCCTGCAGTCAGAGTCACAGGGAGAAAAATGTGGGGAACAAACGACCATGAGCACAGGAACCTTCGAAACGACCCAAAAGCAGCCAGCCACGCCAAGTGCTGCTCCATAATCTCCTTCCTGCGGCCGCGGCGGAAAACGAAGGACGGAAACGAGGGGGAAAACGAAAATTCATGAGAGCAGCAGCCTTGAGACCTCTCAAACGCAGCCAGCCACGCCAGGTGCTGCGCCAGAATCTCCTTCTCCTGCGCTCACAGGGAGAAAAAAGTGGGGAACAAACGACCATGAGCACAGGAACGTTCGAAACGTCTCAAAAGCAGCCAGCCACGCCAGGTGCTGCCCCAGCCAGAATCTCCTTCTCGTGCGCTCACAGGGGCAAAACGAGGAGAACAAACGAGCATGAGCGCAGGAACCTTTGAAACGTTTCAAACGCAACCAGCCACGCCAGGTGCTGCTCCAAAAAAAAACTTCTCCCGAGGTCATGGGGGAAAACGAGGTGAGTAACCGAGAAGCGACAAGGGCAGCAATCTAGGATGACCACACTCGTGGAAAAGCTGGAGGAGGTGGGAGACGAAGAGTGGATGAGGATGGGTTGTATAGGGCATTGCTGCTGGATGAGAAATAGGCGCGCATGGAAGAATTGGACTCGATCTACGCACCTGCACATGGCGGTTGACGGCAGCCTTCCAGCGGGACGCCTCTGCCTCAGCCTTCCTCAGCCGTCCCTCCAACTCAGTCCGCGAATCGGTCAGAGAGACCTGATGCGTGACAATTTCGAACAGAATGGCATTCGAAAGATTTCAGTACGCACACAGCACGTGTCAGAAGGTTTTAATTTCGCACGAAGCGCCACGAGAGTTGGTCGAATGCAGCCGTAGGTCCTAATTCCCGCTCGAATCAGGGCATCCGACTCACAATCTTGTCCAGGTACGACTTGAGCGACGCGTTCTTCTCGTCAATCTCGAGGTTCTTCCGCTCGATCACGTCCACCAGGTCCCGCCGGCTCGTCTGCGCCTCCGCCAGCTCCGCTTTCAGCCGCTCCCTCTCGCCATCCCCCTGAATCTGCAAAATCGAAAAAACAGTTAAACAAACTTAAACGACCTGAAAGTCCATAGCAGCCGGCCGAAACGACCGGATAGTAACTATTTCGTGATTCGTAGTTTAGGTGACAATGAACCGGCTCAAAATAACTTCACGGATGCGAGGAGCCTGGGAGACATACCCCCTCCAGCTGCAGGCGATGGACCTGCGCCTTAATTTCCGCAAGTTCGGCGGCTTTCTGATCGAGATCCGCGGTGAGAAATCCCTTCTCGCGTTCGAGCTGCGCGTTCTCGTCCGTCACCGCGAGGTACTTCTGCTCGATCAGCGAGCACGTCTGCTCCGCGTTGATTTCCGCTGCGTCCGCCTGCGCCTTGTGCGTCTCTAGTTGACGAAGGAGCGAGCCTATTTGCTCCTCCGCCTTCCGCGCAACAGCCCTGACATCGCCCTCCACCGCTTGCAACTCCTCTTCCGTTAGGAAGAGAGGCATCGTGAAGCAACCAGGAAGATTCCCAGCGCAAGTCAAATCTCAGGCTGAGCAAAATGATACTATCTTAGTTCGTCCCGCAAAATCTGGAAAAGTTCCTAGCCGCATCTAGGCATAGCCACATCTATGCAGAGCCATGGCGAATAGGAATAGCGTTGAAATAGGAGGTAATGAAAGGAAGAAAGAAGTAAAGGCCAGAGAAATATCTCTGCCCCGAAAAAGGGTTTGAAAACAGGCGTTCCCGCCGATTGTGACTACGACGAGGGAGTTTCCGCTCTGACTGGATTCGTGCTGACACTTCTTCCGACTGCAGGAGAAACACCAACCTGCAAAAAAAATCCAGTTAGTATCTCACTGTGCGCTGTACACTCGTATTCCGTGTACAATAGCCTTTATTGCGCTGCTCAATGGAGGGAGTGATCTTGGCTGATGCGCTGCGCGACCTCTCGCTCCGTGAAGCGACAATCCCGAGGCGAACCCAGCCACCAGCACTCACTCTCTGTCTCGCACTCACCCCTACAACACAACTGGCAAGGCGACGCCCATAAAAATCTCCATACAAAACCAAGCCCAGCCGACGCCTCGGGAATGTAAAACCTGGCAACGGCTACTTGCCTCGCTTAGCTCGGAAACTGAACCCAAGGCACAAAAGTTGACTCGTCCTTCCCAGGCCACTTCACTTCAACCTTGGACTTCCGTAGGAAGTGGTTGAAGATCACACGTCGCCACATCGGGTGTAGAGTTAATTGGCTCATGCATATCCGAGGCGTGATTGACTCCGAAGATAAAAGCGGGTTATGCAAGCCACTAGCCGTCATGGCCGCAAATGCTGACACGCTGAGGCTCTAAGGTGGCATGCAACCGTCAGCGTTGCGCGATCTTCTCAAGGGATAGCAGGTTACGGATCAGCTGATACCGCGTACAGGTCTGGGATAACGCTATTCTTTTCTCCTCCAATGGCTCTCTCTGGCCCGCCCCTATCAAGCACGAAATTCAGTAAAAGATTGCGAATAGTGCAGCATGTAGACAGAATAGGCTTCCCCTCGTGTCCATCAAGACGTCATGACTCCAGACTTTCCTCCGTAAAAGCCGGTGCTGCTCAGCAGCCATGCGGATTTGTTACGCAAACACGAAAATTATGCACGCGGTTAAGACCTCCGGCCTTCGACCCGTCAAGTCGCGTGTCTCGTTGCAAAAGCCTTGGGAGCTCCACGAGCACTCTCAGAAACACCGGAATTTTCCAATGCCGCGTCAGCATCGAAAGTTCTCGATCAGAAAAACAAGCTTCTTCCACCAACGAGGCTGGAGAATCACCTGAATTACCTGTCAACACGCCAGAAGCAGAGCAGCATCATGATTATGCTGATCCGCTCTTAGTAAATGCTTCTCAAACCCCTTTAGTTCAGGGCTCTGAGAAGCCGTACGTGACGCTAGAAGCAACTTCAACCATAGCCGTGGGAGTGAAACCGCATGAGGAGGAACGAGTAAAGGAAGACACAGAGAAGGACGAAGTGACGGACGGAGAGGACAATAACCCTTTTTCCCTCGTGGAATTGGTGCCGCTGCTGATGGAGAGGGCTGCCGAAGCCTTCACCAAGGTGGTTACGTCTCGAGCAGGCGGGCTGATCGTCCTCAACGTCGTCACCATGCTCTACGGTACGTTCGGCCTGTCACTGGCAGTAGCATTGCCGTTTTGCGACCATGCACGAATGGTGTTTTCCCTTGCGTCCTCCATTCTCTCAACGCAAGTCCTGATCGACTGAGAGCATGCTCCTCCCCTGTCTCTTTCCCTTCTCCCACGCCCTCCCACGCCCTCCCACGCAGCTACCAACACCACCATTGTCAAGGGAGCAGAGGAAGCCGCAGGAGGGCCGCTGCAGTTCTGTCTGGGTCGCTTCGCCATCGCGGCACTCGCGCTCTCTCCGCTGCTCCCGGCCGCCCTCTCCAACCCCGCCGTCCGCCGCTGCGGCATCGAAATGGGCCTCTGGACGTCGCTGGCATATCTCTCCCAGGCCTTTGCGCTCATCACCACTGGCGCTGGGCGCGTTTCCTTCATAAGCACCTTCACTGTAATGCCGTTCACCACCTTAGTGATTTTTTAGTCGACTCAAAATTCACCTTCGTTCTCGTCACTACTAGTGGCGGCGTTTTTTCTTCATCAGCACCTTCACAGTAATGCTATTCATTACCTTAGTTTCCTCCGACCGAACCCCTTACCACCTGTCCGTGGGTAGCTAAAACCCCAAATCTAGCAGTCTTCTGGTGCGTGGGGCCCTATATACATGGCACGTTTCATTGTTCTGCATCCTGCGTGCCTGTTGTCTGTTATTTGGTGATTTTTCTCTGATCCATTATCTCGCATCTGGTGTCTGCTTGTCGTACTCTGTTGTCTGACCTGCGGGGCAGATGATAGAGGTGCCGCTGGTGGCGGGTCTGTTGGGGGCGCGCATTCCTCCCCTCGTGTGGGCTGCCACTGCCTCCGCCGTTGCTGGCGTTCTCCTCCTCGAAGCCAATTCCGAGGCCTCCACGCTGGTGCGTTCCAGAGCTTCTCTGAATCTTGGAGAGATTCAGAAGCATCGATGCTGGCAAGATGGTGCAAATTTAAAAAACACAGCATTCATAGATGCACATATCTGCACTATTGGACCTGCCATTCATGGGCCCGTGTGTGCAGTGCACTCATTCCAATAGCTGGCTTTCTACCTCATGGACCTCCCAACCCTGGGATCTTCTCGCTTTGCCTTCCCATGTGTCACGTGTATCCCTTAGCAATCTTCAGCACCATGTCCTGGCCTGGCTAGCACATGGGTCGGTTCTCTTCTCTTCTCACACACTTAAGAAGCACAGCGCCACATCCCCTTCTACCGTGCCACGTCCCTCTGCTCAGGTCGTGGATCGCTTCTGAGGCGCCTTATAATTCCTCACAGTCTTCAGAAGCACAGCGCAACATCCCCTGCTACCGTGCCATCATGCCTCGCACCTCTCTGCTCAGGTTGGCGCCGGCCTGGCTCTTCTGAGCGCCATGGCGTTTGGGCTGCAGATAATTCGGTCAGCGCAATTTGCCAAGCAAGTGCCGCCCTCCAGACCCTCAATCTCACTGGCACATCACATCCATCTGCCACATGTTCAAATGCCTGAAAGCCACTCCATTCCGTCCTTCCCCTGCCCAGGTTGGGGACAGCCTGGCTCTGGTGAGCGCCATGGCGTTTGGGCTGCAGATCATTCGATCAGCGCAGTTTGCCAAGCAAGTGCCGCCCACTGCGACCCTCGACCTCATCTCCATGCAGGTAGGCTGAGGGGCGGATGAGAGGGACTGGGGGAGCGGATGAGAGGGACTGGGGGAGTGGATGAGAGGGACTGGGGGAGCGGATGAGGGGGGATCCAGGGGGCGGATGAGGGGGGGATTTAAAGGGAGGAGAGGGGTGGGTGAGAGGGGGGTCATGCGAGATGCTTTCCCTCCCTGCGATCATGTGAGGGAAAGCCTTTCGCAGGTGGCCATGCAGTTTTTGGATATGTGTTGTTGGAGGCAGAGGATTTGTCAGGAGCCTATTATTCCTACTGATAAAATGTTGGTGGTAACGTATCATTAGACGAGAACAGGTGTTCCTTCACATGCTGCTGTGTTGTCTTTTGATCAGAGACATACACTCATAACAGGGCTTCAACTCGCACATGAGCTTTCGTGAGAAATGTTACCTCCAGTGTCCACTCCCCCATCTTTCTGTCTCCCACCACACCAGATATTCACTGTGGCATGCTGTGCTGCTGTAGGCCTGGCCATCACCAGCGCCACAGGCCTTCAACCAGACAGCTTAGCACTAGCAGAAACAACTGCAGCAGCAGCAGCAGCAGCAGGGGCGGTCACAGCACCAATTGGTGTCTTCCCATCACCTGACGAGCTAATGAGATTAGTCTCACAAGCGAGCACGTGGCCCTGGTTGCAAATGGCATACACTGGCATTGTTTCTACGGCACTTTGCCTCTGGCTTGAGGTAAGAATTCCCAAAAACCTTCATGTGTGTGTGTGAGTGACCGTTAGGCTACGTGTGTGTGTGACCGTTAGGCTACGTGTGTGTGTGACCGTTAGGCTACGTGTGTGTGTGACCGTTAGGCTACGTGTGTGTGTGACCGTTAGGCTACGTGTGTGTGTGACCGTTAGGCTACGTGTGTGTGTGACCGTTAGGCTACGTGTGTGTGTGACCGTTAGGCTACGTGTGTGTGTGACCGTTAGGCTACGTGTGTGTGTGACCGTTAGGCTACGTGTGTGTGTGACTGTTAGGCTACGTGTGTGTGTGACCGTTAGGCTACGTGTGTGTGTGACCGTTAGGCTACGTGTGTGTGTGACCGTTAGGCTACGTGTGTGTGTGACCGTTAGGCTACGTGTGTGTGTGACCGTTAGGCTACGTGTGTGTGTGACCGTTAGGCTACGTGTGTGTGTGACCGTTAGGCTACGTGTGTGTGTGACCGTTAGGCTACGTGTGTGTGTGACCGTTAGGCTACGTGTGTGTGTGACCGTTAGGCTACGTGTGTGTGTGACCGTTAGGCTACGTGTGTGTGTGACCGTTAGGCTACGTGTGTGTGTGACCGTTAGGCTACGTGTGTGTGTGACCGTTAGGCTACGTGTGTGTGTGACCGTTAGGCTACGTGTGTGTGTGACCGTTAGGCTACGTGTGTGTGTGACCGTTAGGCTACGTGTGTGTGTGACCGTTAGGCTACGTGTGTGTGTGACCGTTAGGCTACGTGTGTGTGTGACCGTTAGGCTACGTGTGTGTGTGACCGTTAGGCTACGTGTGTGTGTGACCGTTAGGCTACGTGTGTGTGTGACCGTTAGGCTACGTGTGTGTGTGACCGTTAGGCTACGTGTGTGTGTGTGACCGTTAGGCTACGTGTGTGTGTGACCGTTAGGCTACGTGTGTGTGTGACCGTTAGGCTACGTGTGTGTGTGACCGTTAGGCTACGTGTGTGTGTGACCGTTAGGCTACGTGTGTGTGTGACCGTTAGGCTACGTGTGTGTGTGACCGTTAGGCTACGTGTGTGTGTGACCGTTAGGCTACGTGTGTGTGTGACCGTTAGGCTACGTGTGTGTGTGACCGTTAGGCTACGTGTGTGTGTGACCGTTAGGCTACGTGTGTGTGTGACCGTTAGGCTACGTGTGTGTGTGACCGTTAGGCTACGTGTGTGTGTGACCGTTAGGCTACGTGTGTGTGTGACCGTTAGGCTACGTGTGTGTGTGACCGTTAGGCTACGTGTGTGTGTGACCGTTAGGCTACGTGTGTGTGTGACCGTTAGGCTACGTGTGTGTGTGACCGTTAGGCTACGTGTGTGTGTGACCGTACCGTTAGGCTACGTGTGTGTGTGACCGTTAGGCTACGTGTGTGTGTGACCGTTAGGCTACGTGTGTGTGTGACCGTTAGGCTACGTGTGTGTGTGACCGTTAGGCTACGTGTGTGTGTGACCGTTAGGCTACCTAATTTGAGATGTTTGTGCTAACGTACGGTTCTCCGCGTTCTGTTGTTGTTGCTATCCAGATTTTGGCATTCCGGCATGTGGCGGCGTCTGATGCGGCTGTGATCTACACTCTCGACCCGCTCTATTCCGCCGTGTTGGCTACAATTGTCCTTCATGAAGAGTGGACGACTTTAAGCTATATTGGAGCAGCTATGATTTTTGGTAAGGGGGAATCCATGTATGCTTTGCTGGTGTATTCATCACCCTCTGCTGACTCTACCTATCATTGTAAGACTCACTCTTACCCAAATTTGTTCTGTTTTTGCAGGTGGGAGCGTTGTTGTGCAGCTTGGGGATGCAAACAATGATGTTGAGACAAAATAGTCAGTCTTATTGTCTATTTGTTTGATGCGAATGTATAATCTTGCATTCGTTTTAATGCAGGGCAATTTTACATTTGTATCAATTTAGCAGAAGCGAGGGTCAAACAACTTGTAGAGAGTATTGCCTCAACGGTTCTCCTATAACCTCAACGCACCAGGCAAATGAGCACCAAGCAAACATAGGTTGCCTTCTGTGTAAGAGGTCCCCGCAGTTACCGCACTTGCGCGCTTACCGCGCCCGTGAATTTACGCACCAGCGCACTTACCGCACCCGCGCACTGACCACAGTTATACCAGCCGCGCCGCACTTACCGCCAGCCATGCACTCCGTCGCTCAGCACTGCTTCGCGGCGCACCGCCAGTTAACGCGCATGTTCCCCCCTTCCGCGTCTTTTTCCGCAAGTGCTCGCCGCGCGACCGCATTCGCGCCAGAGAGGTGTCCAGGAGGGTTGATTGCGGCGAGCGGATATGGCGGGCATAATTCGGCTGCGTTGATTGCGCGGGGCGGGGTGCGCTGCCAGAGCTCGTCCGCGGAAGCCTCCGCGAAGGCAGAGCCGAATGTGAAGGACCTTGCGCTGAAGGCGCGGCTGGCGCTGTCGGCGGAAGAGGTGCTCGGGGGAGGAAGGGGGAGGAGGGGGGATGGGGGGAAGGGGGGAGGGGGGAGGAGAGGGGGAGGGGGAGGAGGGAGGTCGGTGGGGGATGGGACGGTAGTCAAAGGATTGTGGGGGCTGAAACCTGATAGGTTGGTGGAGTTAGGTGATGACTCGTTTGCATTTTGACTAAGTGCGTTTGTAATCTCAACTTTTATTTGCTTTTCTGTGTGCAGGAGGAGGAGTTTGGCAAGTCTATTTCCCGCATAGTAGACTGGTACGAACGACAAGTACATTCGTTATGCTCGCTTACTGCTTCACACATTCACCCTAACTCACATCATCCCTCCGACGCTATCCTGCTTGCACTTACTCATTCATTGCCTCCTCCCTCACGTATTCCCTCCACACTCACATATGCCCTCCTCACTCACGTATTCCCTCCTCACTCACATATTCCCTCCTCACTCACATATACCCTCCTCACTCACATATTCCCTCCTCACTCACATATTCCCTCCTCACTCACATATTCCCTCCTCACTCACATATACCCTCCTCACTCACATATTCCCTCCTCACTCACATATTCCCTCCTCACTCACATATACCCTCCTCACTCACATATTCCCTCCTCACTCACATATTCCCTCCTCATTCCACAACCCCCTCTAATGCTGGCAGGTTCTGGCACCTACAGCAGGTGGACCTTCCAGATGTGCCTGCTTCCATCCGCACCCGACTCAAATACCCCCTACTCATTCACCTCAACCACTCCCCCCCCCCCTCCTCCCCCTCACTCACATGTACCCTACTCACTCACCCCAACCCCCCCCCCCCCCCCCCCCCCCCCCCACTAACTCTCCTCCCCCTCACACACAGGTTCGGGAAGCTACAGCAGGTGGACCTTTCAGATGTGCCTGCAGCCATCCGCGTCGGTAAGGCTACGCCCTTTGTCCTTAGTGGAGTGACCTCAAAAGTCTTCTGAGCTGCC